CGACTCATTTTGCTCATCCTAATACGTGTCCAGAGCAGGAAGAAAACTACGTTCTGCACCGAATCTTGCAGTGTCTCACAATCAAGCACAAGCGTTTAGTGACTTTGTGATTACGGTGCTAGTCCAGGGCAAGAATAGTGACGAAATCGACGTTCACAGGCAGACTGGCTAAATAAGTGCCTGTGACAACTTGTGATGCTTTTCAGCCTGATTTCCATTCATGTTTTTGCCTAGAACATTCTAAATGCGCGGGTCGTCCAGATTTTCGTAACTGGTGCGAGTTGCAACAATCAAAAATTTTCTAGCTAGTGCTGCGCGTCTTGGTCGTCTCGGTTCTTTGTTAGTCTATACCAAAATGTAATCGACAAAAAAAGCTGCTTGAAGCTCTGCACTTTATTTACCTATTACGTCCAAGCTGATTACATTTTTTTAATTATATTTCTATTACGTTACTAGAGCCTCGCACACTAACTCCTGAGTGTGCGATGCAAAATTAAAATGAGATGCCCAGAAACCCGTTGCAGGTGCCCTGAAGTCGCTGATGCAAATTATGAGGAATGTATTTGGAAAAGTATTTGGAGGAGACCAAATACATTTGGTTGTATTTGTATCTTGTACTTAAATGCTTTTTGGGAAATGTAATTAGATTTGTAATTAAATACATTTTTGACGAAGTATTTTGTATTTGTATTTCGATACATATTTGCATGTATTTTGCCCATCCCTGCATGGCGGCAAGATTTTTTCGGAGGAAGAAGAGCGGGAACGGAACGAGCGGCCATGTGCGCAGCAGTGCGAATGGTTCCGCAACCGCCGCGAGGCCGCTATCGCCTAAAGTTCCACTGCGTCGAGCGCTTCAGATTCCCTTGCGGAAGAGCTGATCGTTTGCCTAGAAAGCCACCGCCGAGAACAAAAGCTACAGCTCCGCTGCTCTTCCTTCTTTACCAGAGTGGAAAAAGTTTTTATTTTTTTGTGTACTTTAAGCTTGCGCACTTTCTGGAAATGGTTATTTCAGTTCCTCTTCTGCTTTGTAACTTATTTGCCTCCAGCACCAAGGTATATTCTTTATACATGCACCATATAATAAGGAATTCCATCGATGGCAGACTTGTTCCCAAGTTTTAGCAGTATTATTAAAAGTTAACAGACAAGTAGTAGTTGCAGCCTGTACAATTTGTTGAGTTAGCGGCCTGTACAATTTATTGAGTTAGCTGTTTTCACTTGCGTTCATACGTTTCTTTTATCACGTGTTGCATAACATACCAGACATGTCACTTCAACAAGATCTGGGTAAATCTGGACCTCGTGTCTAGTTGTAAATGCAATATGAAATCCAGCAGTTTGTGGGAGCCAATCTGCTCACATTTGAGGCACAAGTTTATAGCTTCACTCGTATCACAGTAGAAAAGATTAAGTAATCAATAAAACAACTTTACATGGCCATGCATCACTGCCACTATGACTGCACTTTCATGCTAAAAGGAGCAATAAAACGTGTTTGGATTTCAGTCATATATCATACTTACTCAAGTGCAACACAAGTATACTGGAGCGCAACACGACCGAGCAAGAGGCTTCTTTCTGTGGGTGATATTTTGTAGACAAAAGAGGACTCATTTCTTGACGTCATTAGCAGGCAGAGGTTTACTGTTATGACTGCAATACTCGTTCACAGCTGATTATAAGGTATTTGCAGTGCGAAACAAATACTATGGAAGAATGAAACAAATGCGTGCCATTGCCTGCTCTCTGGGCTCCTGCTTGACTTACAAGTCTTCCTTTCAGTGATAGCTAGCAGAAAATGATAATTACCATGGGGATTTCTTGCACACGTGCAATGATGAGTCAATTCCTACCGATTTCATTTTTTTTTTTAAACGACACGGGAGGTGGACGACATCGAGAGATGTCCGATTTGCACAAATTATTGTGGCCCTGAACACAGGGGATTATTTCGTACCTCCTTCCCTTTGTAATCTCTCTGCCTTTTCACTGTGATACATCCGCGGTCCTCAAAGCGCGTCACCGGCTCCAAACGCACGTCACACGACACCGGGCCTCACTTATTCCCTTCATCCTTAAGCTGACACTGCGGTGGAAGTTATGCGCTTGCCAGACCAATCAGCCGCCTCCCTTTTATCACCTGATGGGGAGAGCAGTGATGTGATTGGCCTAAGCCATTTTGGAGCACCTTTTGGAGCAGCCAAAACAGTGTTTTGGAGCAGCAAAAGTGGCCTTTGGAGCAGCCAGGATAGTGTTTTGGAGCAGCAAAAGTGGCTTTTGGAGCAGCCAAAACAGTGTTTCGGAGCAGAAAAAGTGGCTTTTGGAGGAAATATTCTTACAATAAGTGCTGGACAAACGAAGGGCACTTTGTGCTGTGTTATGACGGAACTCGCTGTTTCTGTTTTTACTGCCGAGACATCCCACAAGTGTACAGTTTTGTAGGCGTTGCCGAGAAATTTAGAAAAGAACGCTCGCCACCGTTTTACTGGTTCCTGGTTCCTGACGTGCCAGATTTTCGTTAAAAGTAAGCGAACACAAAACAATGGATCGCAAGCGCCCCGGCTGGTGCTCTGTCGTGCCGTCATGTTCACATGCACTTGAGGGCAACTTCAGCAAGCTTGCAGTGGCACGTGCTTTGTCGCGCGAGCAGAGACAACGGCTGTTCATTCGAAACCGAAACAATGCCACTCCGCTCCGTCGCCAACTGAATCCCAAAATAGTGTGCAAAATACAACTGTCCAGCATTCAACAACAACAACAACAAAAAAATAAAACAGTCCAGCGGCGCGTGCTTGCCAGGCCGGCAAACGAGGTGCAAGCTAAATAGAAAGAAAAACAGAACCTAAGCGCATCGATGCATGACATCGTGAGCCAGGGCCAAAAGTTTTTTGGAGCGCTCTGAGCAAGGACTGAAGTCGAGACAAACAAGCGCGCTGTGTGGGTTCAGCGTGCAGACATTGCCTTCTTTGCTTCAGCTCACTTCTCCTCACCAACGTTTTCTTGGCGGCAGATTTTTCACGTAGCGGGGTCTCTCTCGAAAGATAGCCCGCCGAGAGAAATGTAGGTAATAAATATTTTGACGAGCAGTCTTTGAGTTAAAGATGGATTTTTTAGAAGAAGAGGAATGTCGATGAACAAGTTTAGAAACGCCATATCTGTAGCGACGTGGGGACGGCAACACCCGACGTCGCACGACCACGGTGACCCAGTGGTCGCGCGAGCGTTTCAGCTCACAAAGTAACTCTCGCCGCGCAAAAACGTGGTTTTGTTTCACAGCATGATGGCATAGCTGGCACCCGGCACACTAGCGACGGAGCGTCCGCACATTCCCGCGAAAAAAAAATTGAAAAAGAAGACGCGAGATGAGATTCCCGTGACGGCGAGGGCGGCGAGGGCGCGAAACGCGAGACGGCGGCAAAAACCATGCAAGACCGGATGGAAAATTGATGCCGGGTACTTTGTGTCGGGCGGCCGCTTGCGCCACCTATAGCTCACGCATGCTCAATTACGGTTCTCAGTTTAGTTTCGGTTTTGAAAGGCGACCGAAATTGGACCTTTGGCGCAGGCTTGGCGCAGATTAGCCATATATTGGCAAAATGTAGCAAGATGTAGCAGGGTTAGCCCCTTGGCGCAGTTTGGCGCAATTGGCGCAGCAATCACATCACTGGGAGAGGGTAGCGGGACAAATGGTCAGCGATGACATTTTCCTTGCCTGGCCTGTGGGGGGCGGTGAAATCGAAGGCCGCCAGGTCAACGATGTAGCATGCAAACTTGCGGTTCAGCTTGGCTTTGTTCACTGCGTACACCACAATGAAATTGTCAGTGATGAGCACAAACTTGTAACCATGCAGGTACAGACGGAACTTTTCGGTCACAGCCCAATGTGCAGCAGTACATTCAAGCTCATTGATGTGGTACCTCTTTTCTGCGTCTTTGAGGGATCTGCTGGCATATTCTATGACACGTCTTGCGAGAGGCAGGCTCCAAGACCTTCATGTGACGCATCCGTCTTGACATACGTCTGACATTCTTGCTTGAAGAAGGACAGGACTGGCGGCAAAGTGATCTTCATCTTGAGTGACTCGAAGGATTCCTGCTGAGTATTGTCGAGGGCAAGCTGAAGTGCTTGAGTGGGCGTTTCTTTGTTCCTTTCTTTGCTCGTGGTTTTCTTCAGAAGTTCATTAAGCGGTCTTGCAATCACTGCGAAGTTCTCTTGCGAAACGTGTTCGCAAATCCAAGGAAGCTGTGAACCTCACGTATGGACGTCAGTGTAGCATACCGAGATACAGCAGATGTGCGATCAGGGTTTAGCTGTATGCTTTCTGTTGTCAACACTCTTCCGAGGAGCGTGATGGTTGGCGAGGCGAAGACACACTTGGTCGGCGAGAGTGTGAAACCCATGCTTCGTGTGGCCTTGAAGATCTCGCGGAGGCATTTGATGTGGTCTTCGAAACTGTTGTGTGCGCAGGCAATGTCGTAGATGTAGGTGACAACACCTAGTTTGCGAAGGTGCGAATATGCCAATTTGATGGCTCTCGTCATGGTCGGCGGTCCGTTCTTGAGCCCAAAAGGCATTCGTAGAAACTCTTCGTGGTGGTCTTGTGTGACGAAGGCTGTTTTGTGCACGTCGTCTTCTTTCACTTTGATTGTGAAGAATGCACTCTTGATGTCCATGTTAGACATGAAACGAGAACCTGCAATTGCATGAAATGCGACTTCCATGCAATCGACCGGTTATGGATCTGCGACAGTGATCGGATTGATTGTGCGGGAGTAGTCAACGACTACACGTCGAGGTGTCGTGTCATGAAAATGCGATCCAAGTTCAGACTATAAGCATTATAGCAATAAGGTTCTTGTATCTCTATGTTAAAATCCCTTCAAATCCTAACTCACAGGTAACAGATATCAAATGCTCAGTTACAGGTTCAGATAACGTTCTCAAAGTGAGCAGACATCCAAAAGCACAACTGCACACTGTAAGGAAAGACACCATGTAGCAAAACGTTTTATTCAAGATAATTCTCCCGTTGAAAATGAGTAAAAGGGCACCATCGAACACAAAAAACTGCCACATCGAAAATAAAGCTAGCAGCAAAAGAATTAACAGAAGGTCAATAATAAAACAACTAAGGGAACATTAAAACTTTGTGCTCCAGTTCTCCATGCAGGAACAAACTAACAAACGAAAACATTGCTACTGCTTCCATACTTTCTTCTTGCAGTACTCCTGTGCCTGAAAAATCAGAAGAAAAAAAAAACAGAGCATGTCAGCTAGGTTACAGAGAAGTTCTGGCGAAATTTCTATAGGCAAAGATCTGCATCAGAATTGGTTCGACACATTAATAGGCACATTTGAACAAATAATCCCAAATTAGAAGTCACAATAATATTTTTTTTTCACCAAGTTGCTCTACTTGTAAAATTTCAAACAGGACATTAGATGTAATATGGGGGCAGTACAGCTGGTTCCCGATTGGCTACAAGAAGTTCGATAGTATGAAATGGTTGCTGAAAATACTCATGCCAGTAAAACAAAAACAAACAATTCCAAATTTTAGTGTAAAGGCTGTGCGCAGGCTAGCTGGGGTATAGACCAAGACGCGTCCCTGACGTCATGCAGCTGCGGTGGCGCTGTCGATGGCCCTGCGCATGCGCAGAAGCTTCAGTTCACTCGAATTCGGTTTCCGCGCATGCGCAGTGCCCATACCTGGTGTGGGCAAACGCGGGCTTGTTTGGAAACAGCGTGTCGGTCTATACATGAATGCTCGAGAAATAAACCAGCTAGCCGAGTTTGAGACGTTCCCTTCTGTGTCTGTCCCTTCGACTAAAAGTTTTTTTTTCCCTTTTTTGCACCACAGTCTCAGGTGTTAAACAACATGCAAAAAACTGTTTTTAGACTGCCTGCTCCACTTGCAAGATATGCAACGTGTGACACCACCCCACTGGAGAGTGCAGGAAAGTTTGAATATTGGTATTGGCATAACCCTCACTTGGCATTTTGTACATAGCTATTTTTAATTTAGAGATAATAAACAGCATGTCGGAAAGAGCAAAGCCTGGGTATTGCCTGGGCATTTCGACAATGTGTTCAGTTTGGGAAGCTCAAAAAATCGGCAGAGTTCCCCTTTAACTGGTACACCAATTAAAAGTTTGTGGGATAGGCAGTTGAAACTCACGTTGCAAGACGCTGCCTGTTCGGGGGTTCCGCACCAGTATGACGGACCTTCCGTGCATTGCTTGGCGCCGAGAAGCTTTGACTGCTCGGTCCCATCCGAGCACATGTCGACAAACTATGCGGAAGAGGAAGCAAAATATGTTTAATAAGCAACATTGATTCACAAATGCAGTGTAACGGGATTTAAAGATAAGAACGTAAACAGCGGTCATGCAACTAAAGGTTTTTCTTTAGGAGAACACACCATGACTGTACTTCAATGGCCGAAAATATGAACAGTTTACTGTAACACCTTCATACTGTGAACCTTTGTTAAAAGGAAGCTGAAGTACTTCTTGAAAAAAAAAACAACGAGATGGTGAATTCTGACGTATTTTTATCCCGTGATTCTGAATATCATGTTTGTTTTCTTGAATATGTGACAAAACGTGAAAAAACGTGAAAAGACACCGACCAGTTGCGACGTCACACTAGGATCTTTGGGGCTGCCAAGCGCATGTCGCTCCTGTGACCAACTTTTCTGCTAAAACAGCTCAATATACAGAAGTGTGCTTTGTAATCCGGAAGATATGGTACCTTCATATGTGAAATCACATCCATCAACGATGTTGCATCTCTGTGCAGAGTGCCCCACCCCGAGTTAACCCACTGCCCCACCCATTAAATCTGCCTGTTTTGTCCCCAATTACAGAATTTCTGTTCCAGCACAGCATATTCGAAGTGTGGTACAGTGAAATAGTAATTACAAAATAAAAAAAACCTGCAAACATAGTCATTAACGATAATTCATTCACTGTTTCCCTTTCTTTATTTAACTCACTTGTGAGGAACGTACCACAATATGATACAGACAGTAATTTCAGTGACTAAATTTCCGAACACACAAATAGCCATGACCTTTTGGCAGAGAGATTTTCACCTGCTCGTTTAGAAAAAGTTGTACCCTATGTAGAGCTTTAGCATAAAACAGCTACAAATCTTGGAGCTCCAACTGGCCTCTCTGTAACGCATGAGAACTGTTTTACTGCACAGTGAATGCAAGCCCAATCCTGTTACCTATCTACGTCTGGTGAACTCCAAATATTGGTTCGAGTTATCAACTTAAATTATTTATGCTCACCTTGCAGATTTCATGGCTGTTGCCAATGTTTCCGATGGCGTCGAGCAGGTAGGGTCCATACAGGTCAACCAAGGATGCACACTAAAAAACAAAAGTGAGCTTGTACATTGAGCTAGCTCGTAGTGACCATAGAAACCCTTTTACAATACAAAGCTTTTTTTTCTGGTTTCTGGCATATTAAATTTTCTCTCCTATTATATGCAGATCCAAACCATTCTCAGCATTTATGGAGTGCATTCAAATCTAGGGTTTCATATAGTTTAGTTTTTAAAGTAATGTGCCTTCAGAGCAAAGATAATCATCACTTTGAGTAGACACCCCCACTTTCACATCATTGCACCAATATCCTTGATGTTTAAAGTAATGTGCCTTTAGAGCAAAGATAATTATCACTTTGAGTAGACCCCCCTCTTTCACATCATTGCACCAATGTCCTTGATGTTTAAAGTAATGTGCCTTCAGAGCAAAGATAATTATCACTTTGAGTAGACACCCCCGCTTTCACATCATTGCACCAATGTCCTTGATGTTTCACAAAATCATGTTGCACCATCAAACCAATGTCCCTCCTTTTTTAATAAATACATTTTAAGAGAGACTTTGACACTGTCTGCTCAGTGCCGACTATACTCCATTACCCACCGTATCACCCAAAGACATTCCATAGGCCTTTAAGGGGAGGCACGGCCTAGAAATCGCGATTTTTTCAAAAAAGTCGCGTTTTTGGAAAATAGGCTGACCAGCTTTTACAACTCATAAAGAATGCTGTCCAAAAATTTTATTCCTGTAAGTAAAGTATTTACTCCGAAATAAATTATTTTCGACGTGCTGGCGGCCGCACGTGCGCGCCGACGACGCGGCCGATTACGAAAATGTGCTATTTTCAAAGCGCGCTCCCTCCGCGTTTTTTAGGACTAGCATGGACAGGCCCCCCTCGTTGGAATGAGCGTCTCACCCTCTTTCGTTCTGTTTGCAGCATTGTTCGCGATATTGTGCTCAAAGACCGTGAAACCCCGTAGAAAACATAGCTGTGCACGCTCTTATAGGTCAAGCTGGCGAAACAAGAGCTCTGATTCGCTAGGACGAGCCACGTGACGTCATAACCTGTCATAACCGTCTGCTAGCGCGCAATTTCTGTCAGTCGTTGTTTCGTTTGCTAGCTGCTCTACGCGCCCTTGACCGTTCTTCGACTTTCTATCGCTACGACGCCGGCAACTTTCCGTAGCAAGCCTTCGCCGTTTAAGTTCGGTGGCCGCAAGCGGTTTTCGAAGCGAAGAGGGAGCGGACGACCTCCCAAGGAAGACGACGGGAGCGCGTCTTCGCCGTTTCCAAGCGCTCCGCCGTCGCCGAGTGCCTTGGAATCGCCCATCACTTTGCTGCCTCCCGCCGAACGTCACCCGGGACCATCGGCGTCCACATCATCCTTGCCGGTGACCGAAATCTCAAGTGCAGACGACCTCACTGCAATCGAGCGGAAGATTGCGATGATGCAACGAGAAGCGCCCGCAAAATGTTCCGAGCCCGACGATCCCGAGAAGCAGCTAGGCCTAACCGAAGGCGAAGAGCTCGACGGCTACCGCTTGCTTGGCGTGTCCTGCATCGAAGCTTTAGTAAGTGCTTTGCTGTGCCCTGAATGTGCAGGAGCTTCTCTCAAACTGTCCGAGACCGGGAAGGGCGTCCTCCTTGCGTTCGTTGTCCATTGCCCAACTTGTGGAGAAGTCGCGAGGGCTCCACACTCTGTGAATATTGGTGACACGCGACAGAACGATCTCGCAGCGCGCATCGGTCTCTCGTCACGCGACTGTGGCGTGAGCTTCACAAAATTAACTAATCTTTTTACCGGGATGATTATGCCGCCGCCGATGTGTTTGAAGACGTCTCGGAAAGTTGCCGCGAAGGTCCACGAAGCAGCCACGGCGGCCGCCGGCAATGTGATGAGGACCGCTGCGCTGTCGGTGCGAAAAACGGAGAACGCCAAAGAGGGGGAACTCCTAGACGTGTGCGTCACATACGATGGAACCTGGCATAAACGCGGCCACACTTCCCACTTCGGTGTTGGTGTCGCGATTGAACTTGAGAGTGGTCTTGTGCTGGACTACAGCGTCCACAGCAACTACTGCCAGCTGTGCACCCAGGGACCAAGCCAGGCACAGAGGGGTACACGGAATGGATGGAAGACCACCGACCCAACTGCCAGAAGAACTTCAATGGGTCTGCCGGTGCCATGGAAGTGGAGGCAGCCACTGTTATTTTTGGCCGTTCAGTTGAAAAACACGGTATGCAGTACACCACCATGCTGTGTGATGGCGACAGCAAGGCTTTTTCTAAGGTAGCTGGTCTTGAGCTCTACGACAAGAAAATCAACAAAGAGGACTGCGTCAACCATGTCGCGAAGCGTATGTACGCGGGTCTGGAAGCCCTGAAGAAGGCAAAGAAGGGACTAGGCGGGAAAGGGAAGCTGACAAACCTGAAGATGAAGCAGCTTACCAACTACTATGCCTGTTCGCTAAAGGACAATGTACCCGACGTGACAGCCATGCAGCGAGGAGTGTTTGCAAGCCTTTTGCACTCCTATTCCACTGACGAGGAGCCGAGGCATGTAGGTTGTCCCACTGGCACGGACTCCTGGTGCCACTATAATCGGAGCAAGGCCCTCGAGGCAGCGGGAGAACCACCTGCGTTCCGGCCACACATTAAGCCAGCCTTCTCAAAGGAAATCGCAAGGGAGATGGTACCCTTGTACAACCGCCTGTCACAAAGGGATCTGCTGGAGAGGTGTTCCCGGATGAAGACTCAAAACAACAATGAGAGCTTCAATGCCTTGGTGTGGAAGAGGTGCCCCAAGGTGGAGTTCGCCTCCCTCAAGACTGTGGAGTGTGCAGTGGCCCTTGCAGTCCTTGAGTTCAACCTGGGGCCTCGAGGGATCGAGGAAGCTCTATTGGAAATGGGCGTACAGCCAGGGAGCTACCAAGCGTCATACGGAGAGGGCCATCAAGATGAAGGTTGCAAAGGCCCAAGTGAAAGCGCTCGAGTCCTCCAAGATGTCCCACAAAAAAAGGAAGATGGAAGCTGTGGCCAAGGCACAGAGGGACCGTGCAGAGGAAGGAGTGACGTATGCCCCTGGAGCATTTTAGATGAAATGGCAAGCCCCATCTGAACTAAAACACTGTTCGAACTTTCAAACCCGTTTTTTTCAACTTCATGTTTTCACCATTTTTTCACAGCTCTAAAACTATTGTTCGATGAGTTAAGTGCCCCCAAGTCTAATGTATGACTTTTTTGGCATGAAATTTACTGGAGAACTCGGCTATGCGCTTACTTTTTGCGAATTGTTATTTCTTCACACAAAAATGTTGACGTTCGTGAAACAAGAAAAAAATCAAAAATTTATACCGTTACTGAAAGTTAATTTTTACATAAAATATGGCCTTAAAAATTATTTCAAGCCTACTACCGATTAGTTTAGTCATTCAGCGTTATATCCCAACAAAGAAATTGTGCCTTTTTATTCATATTTTGAAACGATAGTTTTTTTCCTTTGGCACTGCTACATGTTCATTTTTTTCAACGTATAAGGCTGTAACTTGTCAAAAAATAAACCTTTTGGGTTGAAAGTTGGTGTAGCCTCCTAAGTTTTGATGTTTAACATACCCTAAAAATTTCATCAACCTGGCACAAATACTTAAAAAGTAGACCCTCCAAGGGAGTGCCTCCCCTTAAGCCTGCCAATACGATAGATCCAAACTGAAAGCCTGTAACTGCACTCTCAGAAAGGATCAGGCAATGGGCTTACATCGGACTGCATGTTCTTAGGCACTGCCTTGCAGACGTTCTCAATGAGTTTGCTGATCTCCTTGTCATTGGGCTTGCTTTGCAGAATCTTCTCAACATAATCCACAACCGTTGTGCATGTGTCACATTTGCTCAGCTTGCCATCCGCAACAAAGGCCTCAGGTTCTGGAAAAATACATGATCTAAAGATGCACTTGGGGATCCAGATTTAGTGAAAGCACTCCTTGGTATTGGATATACAATTATTTTATTGAGGATTCTCCCATCCACCTTCATTCTCGCAACTGGCTCACACACATCTCCAACTTTCTTGGACATCAATGCCTCGGCGCATGCTCTAAAATGAGAATTTCAACCGAACAACAACAAACATCGCAATGTTCCCCGGAATATTTTAGATGACTCATAAAATATCAATAAACAGTAATTAAACTCTTGGACTCGCTTAGTTTTTATTCCATGGCTCTACAAATTGCTTGGCACTGAATCCTATGGATGACATTCACAAAATTATAAATTTCTGCTTTTCTTGACAAAAGATTGCAATGTTCCCGAAGGCTGAACTGCCCGAGTATCACAAAACACAAATCGTTTAGAATTTCGATATTCTCTTGAAAACTTTTTATTCCACGTTAATGTCCCAGGTTTCCCAACTCCTTTACAGCGCTAATATCCATTGTAGACAGACACCCTATACCGATAACGATAATAATCCCTGGAGAACAGAAACAAACGGGACAAAGAACAAACACAAAACCTCAATACAAAGCTAGGTGACTGGTGCGCGGTGGATGGGGAGGTCCCTGGTTCGATACCAGGACCAGGCGGATTTTTGGAGTCACGCACCAGTTACCTAGTTGTGTTTGGAGACTTTCTGTTTGTTCTTTTGTCCCGCTTGTTCCCCTTCTCCAGGTATCATTATCATTGTTCTTGTCCAGCTCGCTGCACCTTCCCTTTAATTGTATTGACATCATAACCCTATACTTGTCCGCCATTTTATGGCATATGCTGGTGCCGACACACGACTGGCTCCAACCTGTCAAAGGGCCACAATGGTAGAACTCTACATCTGGACTGAATTATGATTCTTGCTTACGTCTCCGGATTCCGTCTTTGGGGCAGGCTTTGATGGCTACACACACGATGCTTGGGTCCAGCTCCTGAGCCAGCAACACCATCAGAGCTGGTCCGTATTCCTCCACAAACGCCCTGCACTCATCCGCAAACTGCTCGGGTAGTTCGTCGCAAAGCTTGTCCAAAACCTCCTGAACGCGCGCCTGCCACACAAAAAAGGTTCCAATCAAACCATGTCACGTGCAAGTTTAGAATTAAATTTGCTGTTCCAAGAGCTGTACCGTCAAAATGCTTCTAGCAACCAACCAGAAAGATTTTTTTGTAACTGCATCATCGGCATAGTTTCTAGCAATTATTCCCCGAGGAAAGTTCATCTTTCATAAAACATGCTGCCTTTCATCATTGCTCTAAGAACACTTTAGAAAAGGTGCAATTTTGCATGTTCAAACGGGAGAAGAAACTGATTAGTCTGAATAAAATAGGAAATTTCTGGTAATTGCAGCTACATACCAACATAGAAAGATCCTGGTTTGTTCAAACGAAAAAGAATTTGTACTCTACCTAAAGGATCAACGTAACTTGGTGACTATCCAGAAATGAAATTCTATGCTGGCATTAAAGCAATTACAGAAACATAGTTGGCACTCCAGCATAATCACAGAATCTCAACACTCTATTTAACAACGTGACACTGTGCGCTGTACGAAAACAAGCGACGGGGAGTGAGGCAGATCCAGTAGCTGCTCCGGCCGTTCCGGCGTGGCTCTTACATCAGGTGTCGTCACCCCCAAGACTCGGGCACGCCACCACGCAGCGCGATGTGTTACACGCCGCTCGCCGTTCGGCTGATCGGGTGATTCGCGATCACCGTAAGTGTGATATTCTTTCGTGCAAATAAAAAAAAAAATAGAACTTGCAAAAAGAGCACATAGAATGGCAATATGCTACAGATACACCTGGCTGAACTCATAACGAGCCAAGGTGTTCTTGATACCGCGGCTGTTTCATCTTTGTCGCCGCTGGGATGCTTTGGATTTGATTATAAGTCGACCACGCCCCCCCTTCCAAGTTCAGATTTTCAAAAATTGAAAAATGGGTCCACCTACAATTACGCAAATACGGTAGTCCCTAGACAACTTGCTACCCAAACTGAAATGTCTAGGACATTACGACTAGCCCTACACCTTTTCCTTAAGAATAACACTTAACCTTGATCGTTAAAGTGAGCAGTTACTTATAGAAACCAGAAAAGCAGAACTGGAGAACCCCCACCTCGGTAACATTGTCTACCAGCTGGTTCTGGATGAAATGGAGGGCGTAGTTGCAGAAGGTGCACTCGAAATTTCCACGAGGACCTAGAGATGAGAAGACACATCCGTGACAGTGAGCCTAAATGTATCTGATAAAACTAAGCATTACTAAATCTTTCCAACAGAGCATCCGAAAAGCAATACACCTACTCTTGTTCATTTGTCGGCTATTTCCCTCCAGCAAAAAATATCTAATTATATGCAGCACAACAGTTGTGCCCGGCTGAGCCTCTACAAAATGCCTACAAAAAAGAATGTCCAAATGTTTAAAATTTCTATTCTGGATTAAGTCCTCATTATTCATAATCTATTTGAAAGTTGCAAATAATGCATATGCATATGCAGTAATGAATATTTAGTTAAATGCCCCTGTGTGAGCAATTCTTGTAAATCCTCCGTCTAACAAGGACAACAATATTTGATGCAAAGATGAACTATATACAGGGCAACATACTGGCAAGGTTCGAAGACCTTAGGTTTTATAGATACGGAGGAAAAAAATATTTAATTCACAGCAATCTTGTGCAATGTGCCGTGTTTGCAATTTATTTTCTCAAAATAACGACCCTAATACTCGGCAATAAATATTTTTTCTCAATCTTTCCTATGCCTAATTTGTCAGTGAATCTTTCTAGACCCGTATCCAGAACAGTTTTCTTGGGGAAAGCCGCCCGAAATGTCAACATCGCGCGATACGCAAAACACGCACGTGACTGAGAGGGTGCTAACAAATGTTTTCGCAAAAACAAATTTTTTTTTTTTTTTTTTCAAAAACAATGATTGGTTTTATTTTTCTAGGCATGGAACCAGCAAAATACATTTCTTTCATCTAAATTAAAAATGATCACCAGACATGGTTGTTTGAACTTGTCTGAAAACGCCCTGAAATATCAGTTTGAATTATCATGAGCCTACTGTATAAAAATGACTACTAAAGGCTCTTGCTTTATTACCGGAACAAAGACAAGTGCAACCCTTGAAGAGTGACACCAGCACCCACCTTCGGAGCACAGGTGGAGGAAGTCCTTGCAAATCAGGTTTGGATCCATCTCCTGAAGCAGCAAGGAGACAAGGCGTTCGTAGTATGTGTTGACAAAGGTGATGCACTTCTGCCTGGTAGGACAGAGGTCGCACACGTGGTCCAAAACCTTCTTGACGGCCGCCTGAAAGGCAAGATCCACGAGATTGGCATTTCTTGTTTATATTGAATCGTTCACACCTCCACATTCCATCCCCAAAGCAGGGCATTCAGCCCTACTTTAGACCAGGGCTTCTCCCTGATCTAAAGCATGGGTTCCCAAACTACAGGGTTCGACCGAGAAAGGCAAGCCCGGCTTCTTAGCCGGCATAAATAAACTATGCTTCTCAGAAAGCTGAAACTCCGTGAGAATGTGACGATAGCGGTGGTGATAAAATAAGAAAATTTGAGCACATGACATTAACTGAATCAAGATACAAAAGATATGCTCTTCTTTGAGCCATGTCGCACCGCAGAGGAGCGGGGCACGCTGCCCGCTGTCCTCCATGCCGCAGAGAATAGTGGGCTGCAAGCTTGTAGGAATGCGCTGCGTGTATGAATGCTTTTGCATTTATACATGCAAGCGGTCTTACCGTAAAACACCGGGCAGGCGCCCATTCAAACTTTGGAGATAATTGCAATAAAAGGGGGGTCAGCGCTTGTCCGGTCATAAATTTTACATATATATGTACTGTGCAGATTTTCTCAGCTCTTACAAATTTGAGAATGGGCGCTTAGTGTGGAATGGGCGGATGTGCGGTATTCTACAGTAACTTTTTTAGTGAGTTATCTTATTAGCTTGCAGATCACCAGATTGATGTTGTCAGGAACTTTCACTCCTGTAACTAAAGTCGGAATAAATTATTTCCGACATGCCGGCACCACCTGAAGTGCAGCTTTCTGAACATTCCAATGCATTTATCTCGGTTTCACTTTTAGTCATCAAATCTCGGTTCAGGAAAGCTACAATTCGAGAATGAATTGATAGAACTGGCTTTTGAGGTTTCTACTGAAATTTCATAAAGAAAGCACCTGTGAATTTACTTTCTGCATTTTCAAGCTCTTTTGTTAAGGCGAGACGCGGGCCTTAAAATGGTAAAAAATCGCGAAATTTGGGGTTTTTCAAAAATCACATGTTTGGATAGAATATAGTCTGAAGTACCTGCCTGCGAAGTTTCAATGTCCTATTCGACGTCTAAGTATAAAAAAAACGATAAATACGATGCCTCCGCGACGCTCAAATCGCGAATCCAACGCAAAAAAATAGTCAAACTGCGCGCCCGCGTCGCTTCACGACCGATCGTCGGATCGCGGCCATCTTGGTCTTGTTGGGGAGCTGGTTCTCTTCCCTACGTCCTCATCCCACTCACTATCGCGACAACCTTGGAGAGCGTCCGCATTCCGCGGGTTTTCACGACCGGAATAACGATTGCTCATTGGCCCGCGCGCGTACGTCACGGGTACGTCGTGCCGCGCGCGCCTGTCATAGGCCAAGACGCGCCCCTTTCCACTTTTGCTCCTTTCCTCCTCTTGGCGCGCGCGCCTCCAGCAGCGCAAGGGGAGCGTGGAGAAGCGTCGTCTGCTTCGTTTTGGCCCGTCGCTTTGTTCGTTTCGCGGCTGAGTGCACGTTGTTTCGAAATCGTTTACGTTCGCGCGTTCGCGTCGGACATCGTTGGTTTCTCGCTACGAAGTTGCGGGAGTTTTATTTCGAGCGATCGAGATGCCGGGGGACTCTCGATTGAAGGAGAGTACGCGGCGGACGTTCGGGAGGAAGACGCGACGTGCGTGGAACAAGCGGAAGACATCACCTGCAAGTGCGCCGCTACGATCTGCGCCACTGCCGAACGCATTGGATCTGCCGGGACCATCGGCTAGCCTTCCCGTTGACGATGCTGCGGCCTCAAGCTCTGGTCCGGATGGCTCAAGTTTTGCCGGCACCACTCGCGTCGACTCTACCTACTACTCTACGGCCGAGCAAGCGCAGCGCGCCGAGCGATCGGAGCAAAGCAAGCGCGTTTTATCGGAGAAGTCGGCGACCCAGCGGAAGTTCGATCTGCTTGAAGTCAACGGATCATGCCAAACAAGCGATGCCGGGACCCAGTTTGTCATCGTCGACATGAAAGTCCTCAACGACCTCTTCGCGCACGCGAGGTGTGGAAGCTGCGGTGTGGGATCTCTCACGCTCAGCAAGGCCGCGGACAAGGAGTACGGCTTGGCCGTCAAGCTTGTGCTCGTCTGCAGCACTTGCGACTTCCAGAAGAAGCAGTTCTCCTCTCCCAGGGTTGCTGGAACAGCAAAGATCACTCCCTTTGAAGTGAACATGAGGGCCATGAAGGGGATCCAATCCATTGGCAAAGGAGTGACAGCCTTGGCAGACTTCTGTGCCTCCATGAACATTTCTCATCGGGGCCTGCACCACAAGACGTACCAGGGACACCTGAAAACGCTTGTGCGGGCATGTGAGAATGCAGCAACCGACAGTGAAGCCGCCAGTGTTACTGTCGTCAAGGGGCTCTACACAGGCTTTATGAACCCCATTGGCAACATCGATGTCATCTTCGACGGATCATGGATGACCCGAGGACGCAGCTCCCACATTGGTGTAGGCTGCATTGTGGAGTTGTACTCTGGCCTCGTCATCGACCATGTTGTGTACTCCAACTTCTGCCTTGGATGTGCCTTGGGACCGGAGCCAGAGGACGATGGCTACAGCGACTGGTACGCAACCCACGACTGCCAGAGGAACATTGACTGCAATGCTGGCCGTATGGAGGTGGAGGCTGCGCTCACAATGTTCCAGAGGTCTCTGACCAAGCATGGTCTCCGCTACACCACCGTCCTTTCGGATGGGGACAGCCGGACATTCCATGCCTTGTCTGAAGCGAAGGTTTACGGCTTCATCAAGATAGAGAAGAAGGACTGCGTGAACCACGTCCACAAGCGGATGGGAGCTGCCTTGCGCAACGTTGTTGAGAAGAAGAAGGCACAAGGCGAGTCACTTGGTGGGAGAGGAAAGCTGACACAGGAAAAGATCAAGATCACTAACTATTACGGCTATGCTCTCAGGAGTAACAGCCATGACGTTCCAGGGATGAAGAGGGCGGTGGAAGCCACACTCCTGCACATGACCTCCACAGACGGCGCCCCAGACCACAGCAAGTGCCCCGAGGGAGCGGAGTCCTGGTGCAAGTACAACAGGGCCTTGGCAAACAGTGAGCCTCCGCCGCCGCACAAGAATCCTCTTCCGGATTGTGTTCGGGCTGCACTGGAGCCAGTGTTTGAAAGGCTCAGCAATGAAGACCTGTTGGCACGGTGTAGTGAGGGAAAGACGCAGAATGCCAGTGAGAGCCTGCATTCGGTGATGGACGCAGACTTCAAAGAATGCGAATGCCTCCCTGGACAGCGTGAAGAGGGCTGCGGCTGAAGCTGTTGCTGTCTACAACCAGGGAAGGAGAGCGACCAACGAGTCCATTGCTGCAGGCCTGGGCTACGCCACCGGTGACTGCCTTGTCCGCCGAAGCATCGAAAAGGACAGTCTCCGTTTACGTAAAGCAAACGCGGTGCACCAGAGCAGCAGTAGCGTGAAGGAAAGGTTCTCCAAGCGACACCAGGCAGGAGCATCACGAGATTACAGCCCAGGACAGCTGTAATGGCTTTTTCCAGTGCCATGTGGAACAAAGGCCCTTTTCAGGGCCAAACAAAATTACGTTTGGAGCTTGAAACTCTTGCTCGCCTCTCCCGTTGTCCAAAGTTGTCGGGTCATCACTTTAGAAGCAATTTTTAGCCTATATCAGTAATTCTTCACCATTTTTGCAATCTTCTCAAAAACAAATTATTGCAATTTTTAAAATTATTTGTTCAGAATGCACTACACTACATCTTGATAACTATTATTGCATAAGGGTTTTCACATAATTTATTGTAGTCAGCGTCGAAACAGGAAAATGTGATTTTATCAACATTTCACTCGTTCTTTACTTCTTTCATATTTTTTTCCGAATGTTCCCATAAATGGATTACATCATCTTTTATGTCAAGTTGTTCATGAAGACTTACACTACACCTTGGTGGCAATTATTATTTATCATTGTTCACACAATTTTCTATGTTCAATGTCAAAACTTTAACTTTGATTTTCTCATCTTCATGTTTTTTGTCAACGTGCTTAGCCTTACGGGGGTTTTCATGAAGTTTTTATCGTAGCATTTTGAAACTTTTTATACCGTTTTATTCAGAAAGGACTGGACTGTGGAGTAAAGCTATTTTTTTGCAGTTTATAATGACAACGAAAATTTTATGATAAATAATGCGACCTCATTAGTGTCATAATTAGCATAATTAGTACATTTTTGTATTATAATGTAATTTTGTGAAAATATAAATAGCTTTATAATGCATGGCAGACCTTTAGCTATGCATCTACATCAATAAAAAAAAATATTTTTGTTCGAAATGGCCTTAACGACCCGTAAGAAATTAACCAAATTAGGCAACCCTATTTTTGTAACTTGAAAACTAATTGAGATATTTTGAAACTGATTTCATATTTGAATTGAGAAAGAAGGAACACATATGCACAGTGATTTTCATTAGTATAGCTGCAAAAATAAAATAGTCCATTTTAGAACCAGTGTCTCGCCTTAAAAAAAATTGCAGTATCTTCAACCAATTGCAAAAAATTTAACTTTTCTTATTTTTTTAACTGTGTTATTTTTGTAATTTTTTTCCAGAGCTGCATGATGTAGCTGTTATACTGCATGTTTCCCCAAAAGAACTGGCCATTATTAGTACCATTTTTTAAGAGTAATTTTTCCCAGAAGGTGAGGTATTCATTTGATGTTCTTTTATTTTAACTCTTCAAAGGATTCATTTCATTTCATTTATTATCCCTTAAAGGCCCCGCCAGGGGCATTACATAAGGGGGGGGGGCAATACAAAGAAGCACACAAGTAGAACTTTTATACAATAAAAACAAAAAAACAAAACATAGAAACAAGATGTGGCTGAGCACTGGCCATAGGTAGGAGCATCGCACTGATTACATATTAAATATAGACGATACAGCATGTCTGAAGAGGTCGGGGTCACTGATGAGCACTACATGGTCCAGTAGATTGTTCCACTCTATTATGGCAAGGGGAAGAAATGAGTTGTTAAAGGTGACAGTGGAACCATGGATGCGACGTACACTAAGGGGGTTAAAAAGTCGTCGGGATGAACGATGCGGTTCTAACAGTAGAGACTGTCTGAGTAGAGGGTGGTAATAAAAAATCTTCTGGAAAAGACAGATGCGTGATATTCTTCGACGAGAAATGAGAGTGGGGAGGCATAAGGAAGCCTTCATGGCCGACACACTGGCAGTGCGTTCATAGTTAGAAAGAATGAATCGGGCAGCACGATTCTGAATAGATTCTAAGGTGTTAGTGAGGTAAATCTGGTGTGGGGACCAAATGGCAGCAGCATCCTCAATCTTCGGACGCACAAAAGTTTCGTAGGCCAGCTGGCGCAAAGCTGGAGGGGCTGAGTGCAGACAACGTCGAATGTAACCAAGCGTTCTGGAAGCTTCGGCATGTATGGAGTCAATGTGGAGGGTCCAAGACATACGGGAAGAAAAATGAACGCCAAGGTATTTGTACGATTGAACATACTCAATTGTTGATGAGCCTAGAGAATATTTGAAAAGAGATGGGGAATGTTTTCGAGAAAAACAGACAAACTTACATTTAGAGTGGTTTAGTAACATTAGCCATTGATCACACCATTTGGTTATATTATCGAGGTCTTTCTGAAGAAGAAGGTGAACGGAGGAGCAATTTATTTGGCGATAAATGACACAATCATCAGCAAATAAACGTATGTTAGAGGTGATAGAATTTGGAAGGTCGTTAATAAAGATCAAGAAAAGAAGCGGACCTAGGACACTGCCTTGTGGGACCCCAGACAAAACGTCGGAAAAGTTTGATTCTAAAGTGTTGACGACTGTATATTGGACTCTGGATGAGAGAAAGCTGCGAATCCAAGATACGATTAAGGGATCAATATTGAGTCGCAATAGTTTTGCGAGTAGGCGTAGGTGAGGAACCCGATCGAAAGCTTTGGAAAAATCTATGAAGATGGCATCCGTTTCAGAGAGCGAGTCAAGGTTAGTGTGCAGGTCGTGAGAAAATTCAAAAAGGGTGGGTGTCGCAGGAATAACCCTGGCGAAAACCATGCTGGTTTTGGAAAAAAAAGTTATTACAGGTTAGGTGATTCATAACGTTAGAGAGGATGATATGCTCAAAAAGTTTCAATGCAATCCATGTGAGCGATATGAGACGATAGTTATCAGGGCCCGTTTGCTCGAAGCTGGTTAACTAACCGTGGTTAACCGGATTTCCCTACGAGGGGGAATTTTAGGTCATGTGACCGGCAGAGCAAGGACGGCGGGGAAACATGGCGGTGCCCCGGTGAGTGAGCGCCGCTCGCTTTGGAACTAATACGTCGTTGTAGCTGCAATATCGGGCGCGTTTCTCAACAATGAATGGTGCAGGAGGCTTTCGATTTGCCTTACCTCACTTAAAACGCAAAGCATGAGCAATCACCTCGCTGCATTTTTCAAATAGTCTTTCGATTCTGGCAATTCCTAAGCCTAAATGAACGCGATAGTTGTCGGCATGGCAATGCTTTTGGAAAGCGGATTGCCTTGACTCAATCGGCCGGGTACTGGTAGCACACAAAAGCAGACAGCGTCCTTTTGCTAAATTTCCCAAGCACCGTGGTGCATGCTACGATACTCCGTTTCACCTTATGTTGTACCGCAGAGAAGGCTAGAAGCGCGAGCTCATAGCATTAGGAGCTGCTCTATTGCACGCGAGCTTGTGCTGCCGAGATGTGCCCTAGAGCAAGGAGCTCGCGCTTTTAGCCTTTCCTGAGGTACATCACGAGGTGAAACAGAGTAGAGTGTAGTTACACGCGCTGCGCGTGCTGGCGTCTGCAGTAGTAAGTCATATATGTATTCAATGTGCGCAAGTGCTAACGCTAATTCCTGTTCCTATAAAACCTTTTCACACGTATCCCGCACGCCGACGGTAAAACAAATATTCAAAACGTGTTACAAAATCAACTACACAAGTTGCGCGCATAATGATGTAATGCAATTGCATGGTAAGTATAAGTATCGGACGACACTTTACGGAGTAAGGCAAGAGACGCGGTGAAACGCGACAAAAAACACAAATTCAATGCATCCGCCAAGGCGCGGACGGGAGAGCAAAGCAACAAGTTGAAGCAACCTAATGGCGGCCGCATCACGTGATTCCAAGATGGCAGCGCCCATGCGGCGGAGGGTGAAAAGGTCTATACAAGTGCTTGCACTGATTTATTGACTGCTGTGAGCCAACCTAAGTGAACCATGTTGCTCCAAGTTGCTCTCCTGATAAAGTTTGTTTTAAAGTTAGTGACTTTCCCTAGAGCATACTTCAGAGTAGCTCAACAGAGGGAAAAAGTAATTTATATCAATGGAACGAGGCATGTGCTAGCTCTCCCCAGCAGTGACCTCCGAAAGTAAGCTGAAAAACTTCGTCTCGGGATACTGCTTCGTCACCCGAAGCCAGTATCCCGAGTTTATCGAGCTTATATTATATAACCTTAAAATCTTCAATTAGCAATTTTTGCACTGACTTCAACATGTGTGAACGTGTCTTAATGAATGTACAATCGTGTCCTGTGTACCATCCCCAAGGCAATCGGAAACTGTTCATGAGCAGCCGATGGAACTGCCTGCTATTGCGCTGAATTGTGCGAATAAAATTACTTAATGTCAGAGAGAGAGCAATGCTCTCATACCCTTATCCTGACACACAAAGTAAAAGCACAAACCTCTGTTTTCTCGTCCTTCAGCTCATCATGTACAAGCTTGACGATGCTTTGACAGAAGTCGCACTCTGGATCTGGATCCGCCATCTTTTTCGGGGACACATTCTTGGGAGCAGATGGTAGTGAAGTGGCTCTCGCTAAAGATGGATGGAGAAAAACATTGCTACAGACAACCATTCTCACAGAAAGAAAGCAAAAGCTCGAACCGCAGTACTGCCCCTGCCCAGTTTGATATGTATGATCGATATGCCGGCGTTTAGTCATGTATTCACTACTGCATGTCTAAATTGTCTTGAGGAACACATAACCGCTTTGTATAACAACCATTAAAAAGGCGAAATTTGTTAAACCGGAATCTTAATTATAAGCTAGTGAAGGTCGAGCCAACACATCAAAACCGTGGGGTGTAGGCTAGGACTTGAGTTTACTTCGTTAAACTGGCATTTTTGTAACACTGGTGATTGTTATGGAGGTTGGTAACGTGCCTCACAACTCTGGATCAAGGGGTCATTCCGTAAATGGCTGCCAAAGAAGAAAAAATTTCCTATGTAGCGTGCAAATTACTTTTGCATGCTGCATAGTAATTTGTACTTTTGTTTCCCTCTGCCCTCACCCAATGATGGTGCACACTTGACTGCCTCGTCATTTCATGTTCTCTGCACATTCTCTAATTCTCTATGTTGCCTTTTGGTTGGGGTGCTCTTTCTTGCGTTCCGATGCACCAAAGGTTCACTTTGAAACACTTGCTCCCCATATTCTAAGGTTTGACTGAAGGTACGGTCCCAGCAATTGTGATCCCAAGCTTGAATATGTGCACGAGTGCTCAGTATACTAATCAGGTCTTGTAACTCACTAAAGTCCCGCCATCAAAGTGATTCACGCAACAAATGCAAAACAAGCGAGCACGAGGAGAAGTGATGGCACTCACAGTGATGTGATTGGCCTAAGCCGTTTTGGAGCACCTTTTGGAGCAGCCAAAACAGTGTTTTGGAGCAGCAAAAGTTGCTTTTGGAGCAGCCAAAACAATGTTTCGGAGCAGTAAAAGTGGCTTTTGGAGCAGATATTCTTAGAAAAATAAACATATTCGTTTTAAGTGCTGAACGAACGAAGGCCACTTCGCTCGCCGCAATAAACAGATTATGGTCAAGTTCGACCACCTGGGAGTCTTTCAACATGTTACCGAAAAGACAATGACATGACACATTTTGCAATGCTTCAGTTAAGTTATACATATATATGTACGGTTATAGATCAATAATAACCAAACTGCACATATTAAAATCTATTTGAAAATGGCCAGCTTACTAGTAAATATCACAGCATTAGGTTGACCGACTCAGTTATATAATATAATAAATGGAAGCTGTCTCCGACTGATGAAACACGTAACTACTGCAGTGCAATGCGAAATTGTATACAAGACAAAGGTGCATTAAGACTACCGGGTGCTTTTCTTTTTGCTTTTCGAAACTTTCTACAAGGCTGCTGCAAGACTCGCTTTGCCTTTGGCTAGTAAGGAATTCCCACTTTCAATGTCTCCAAAGAGACATTGAGACGCCCCACAAATGAACAGTGCTGTGGGCGGGAGGCACTCAATTGATCGAATGACGTTTTAGCGAACGCCCACGTTTCACCGAATGACACTTTAGCGAATAGTCGGACGCCGCCAAGCGGCGTTTTCGGGTGGGCCAAATGGGTTCACATTTTTGTAATGAGCCACCGCAGACTGTCGCCGCGAAGCGGCGTAAAGCGCAGCGCGGCAAATGGGTTAACGCGCGCCCCCGTTATTCGCTAAAACGTTGATTCGCTCAAATGTCGCTGTTCGCTAAAACGTCATTCGCTCATGCGGTATGGACCCAAAAGTAAGCAAACTTAAAACAATGGCTTGCAAGCGTCCCGGCTGGTGCCTCTGTCGTGCAGTCATGTCCGCGCGCACATGAGGGCAACTTTGGCAGGCTTTCATTTGCATGTGCTTCGTCGCGCGAGCGGAGATGGCTGTTCGATCGAAACAGACACCATGCCACTCCGCTCTGTCGCCAACTGGTTTCCAAAATTGTGTGCAAAATACGACAAAAAACAGTCCAGCGGCACGTGCTTTCCTGGCCGGCAGGCAAATTACATGCTAAACACACAGAAAAAAGAACCTCAGCGAGTCAGGTCAAAACAAGACATCGCGAGTCAGGGTCCAAAAGCACTTAAGCACTTGGAGCGCTTTGTACAACGACTGAAGCACTGAAGCGTCAACACATGCGCGCGTCTATCAGTGAATTTTTTTTTTTTAAGACGCGAGACAAGACACATCAACGACGCGAGCGTGAAACAAGAGGTGGCGGGAAAAACTATGTAAAACGAGATAGACGATTGATACAGGGTACTTTTTGTTGGGCGGCCGCTTGCGCTACCTAGCTCATGCATGCTCAATTATGGTACTCAGTTTTGTTTCGGTCTTGAAAGACGACCAAAATTGGTCTTTTGGCGCAGGCTTGGCGCAGATTACCCATATTTCGGCAAAATGTAGCAGGATGTAGCAGGGTTAGCCCCTTGGCGCAGTTTGGCGCAATTGGCGCAGCAATCACATCACTGCACTCACCATTCGGGCACAAGTGCAAGCTCTGGCAGATCTGAGTTGGGGTGTACTTGTTCAGCAACATGGGCACCAGGACATCAAGGTAGGTATTCACCAGAGTGACGCACTCCTGCCTCTCAGTTTCAGCAAACAGATTGCAGACACCATCTAGAAGTTTCTTGACCTCCTCCTGGAGTGAAACGTTAACGAAAAGCATTTCACTGTTGCCAAGACACTGAGCATTCGTGGTGAAACATCTCTCGAAAATTTAGAATTTCTGCAAATAAATAAATTTTGGAACTATCAAACGATAGTTACGATTGAAACAAAAGGCCCGTTTACTTCGTCCCTTTTACCACTAAACTCGGCTCAGATGCTCTTTAGTGGCTTTTTCATCCGATAAATGGCACGCGCCTTGTTTGATACTGAAATGCATCGAGCCTAGATGGTTTCAATCCTCGCATTAAAGCTTCTCATGCATTGTTACCTTCGATGATGCCCCAGACACTAACAGATTTTACAAGCTTAGTTTACAGCATTGCAAGGTATCTTAAAAGCAAAATTAACATACTGTGCAGTCAAAGAGACAAAGTATCATTTTACAGTAGAACCTTGTTTATGCATTCTCGGTCGACGCATTTCCCTAGCCGTTATGAGTAAGGTAGGGTATTGTTCACCCCATCCATGAAAGATTATGTGAAATAAATTGCTGTGTAAGAGTTGCCTCCACTCTCATCTACAGACCCTCAAAAGTGTTATTGGTAGGTATGTTTTTTCCAACCGTATGTTTTTTTGCCATGGTCCCCTGAAAAGCGAGTCAACGGTATTCTACTCTAGACGGGCAGACAGTAGACTTTCCAGTTTTATAAAAACATTGATAAACATCCGTCAGTGTCAAAACTGTGAAATTAGTTAAAACCAGAAAACACCGATAAACGTCTGTTGGCATTAAAACTAAATTAAATCTGTCTAAACAAAACACACCGATTGCCGGAAATTTTTTTTCTCTAGCTAGAACTGTTTTTGTCGAAACCCTTCCCTTTCATACTTGAACTCTGACTTTCTCCCGAGATTCTTTTCGTCCCTGACCGCCATTCTTAGCACCCGTCCAAAACAGATCACCGACATACATTGATATTTGAAAAATAGATGAACACCGAAAAACATCAGCCCATTTTTGTTATTAATAAACACCGGAAAATCTTTGGCCTTCACGTGTGTCATAACTAGAAAAGAGATATATAAGATAGGTTATACACATGAACTAAAACGTAGAGGTAACCAAGTTGGAAATACCGTAGAATACCGCACATCCGCCCATACCACACTAAGTGCCCATACCCAAATTTGTAAGATCTGAGAAAATGTACACATGTACATTGACATGTAAAATTGACGACAGGACAAGCGCCCATCCCCCATTTTTTCGCGATTATGTCTAAATTTTGAGTGGGCGCCTGCCCGGTATTTTATGGTAGGTGGAATGAATGACCAGTGGATTCTCGTGATGTCACATCGCAACTGCAAAGCTACGAGGAAATGGCAGAAGAAGTGCTCGCGCGCTGGCTTCACTGCGTGGCATATACGCGAGTCGTCGAACAACTGCAGGGACGAGAGATTGAATGAACCCTACTGTAAATAATCTAGCGCAGCCGAACAGACGAACCTCGGATGACTTGTCTTTCATTTCGTTGTAGACGAACTGGACAACGTTTTTGCAGATTTCACACTCTCCACCAAAGGTTACTTTGGGGATGCCTTGTTTTGAGAAATGCGAAGCACTCGTCACGACTGGGGATGCCGCGATGGCTGCAAACAAAAGCAGACCAGAAGAGTGTACACACAAACCATGTAGACAACACGCCGCTACATTACTATATAAGTTCATGCAAGTTAGAAGTGTCTCGGAGGCTTCTTTAAGACTATGGAAGTTGAGTACTAGTGTTCCAACAGACATGAGTTGTTTGACTTGTGCTTATGGGTGAAACACTGTCTAGTATTATGCGTTATTATTTACAAGGTCTGTAAAGTTTCTGCACTGCTTTACTGGTGCAGTGCCAAGGCCGAAAGTGGTTCCTTGGTTGCCGTACAAGGCAGGCAACGGTTCCCTGAGACTGGAAAGACTAGAACCTCAGCTATAAACAGTTTCTTTCAATGCAACTCTCAGCACAGATCAAGAAACTCTAATAAAGTCGTCGACAACTTCCTTAGGGTTTCCGTTGTCGCAGCAATTGAAAGTTCTATGGCCTATTAAAGGACACATGCAAAGGAAAAAAACATTTTTTTTAAACGGCTTAGATGGAAAAAGGACCCCATAAAACGATTTTACAACGAAGAAAAAAAATTTTTAGAGCTATATTTACGGCGCAAAACGAATTTGTAGTTGGCGCCCGCGGGTACCGCGGAAAAGTGGTCTGTATTTATCACGTGACTGGTCTTTATTTATCACGTGGTGCTTGCGCTCTTTCGGAAGCTTCCTATGGCCTCTAAAAGCAACTTATTCATCTTTGTTTGAAGTATAACAAAAAACCAAGACGAATAAGTAACTTTTAGAGCCCAAAGGAAACTCCTGAAAAAGCGCAAGCAGACGTGCGCCGGTCAGACGACGGCGGCGGCGCCCCGAAGCAAGCGAACTTGTGCGGCGGCGGCGACGGCGGCGTGGAGAAACGCGTTGAAGCGGCGTTCGCACAACGCTCAGCGTGCGGCGGCGACGCAGCGCGGCGGTGCGCGGGCCTACCACGTGACCAGCGGCGGCTCCCGCGAGCGCCAACTACAAATTCGTATAGCGTAAATATAGCTCTAAAAATTTTGTTTCTTCGTTGTAAAATCGTTTTATGACATCCTTTTTCCATCTAAGCTGTCTAAAAAAAATGTTTTTTTCCTTTGCATGTGTCCTTTAATGGAATTCAATATTTTTGTTAGAATAAAAGCTCAAAATCCAGATCTATATCATCGATCGGAAAAATGGGGATAAGTTAGGTTTCACTTCGAAGATTTTGAGTGCTTGATATAAAAATTAACAAACATCTGCAAATATCTCTTTTACTTGCATATTAAATGAAGACAAACAAAGGAAACATTCTTTTTCTTTAATAACCCAGAGCCTGTACGTCCCTCTTACTTTTATCCACTTTTGCTTATCCTAGAGTCTCGGATCTTTCTCGTGCACAAAATAATGTTTTTCTTTTAACTTGCAGCCGCCATCCGCCCTACAACACTGTCCCCTCTCTCCCTTAAACTTTCATGAAATGACACAGCAGATGTGGAAGTTGTTCCTTGTTTTCCTTTATTTGTCAGTTTGAGAAATAGAGACAACTCCTTTAAGACATCTAGGGATGACACTACTTGCTCACACAAGGATTTGATGTAATGAACCTAGAGATTGATTAAAAAGAAAGGTGTGTTAAGAATGTCTATAGTGGGCTTTCAACAGCACACAGAAGTTAACAGCACTCCAATTACTTACCAGAGCAGTCATTGAGTTTTTATTGCAAAAGGATTAGCTCACCTAAAAATAAACTATCATTAAAATGTGTTGCATGTGTTCCTTTCCTACTTTTTCACATCTTTTTAGTGGTAGTTACCTATTTTGGCAAATGGGATGCATTACATCAATTGTAGCTCAGAACAGATGTATATCACCAGATGTGAACATAGAACTTTATAGTAGTCATTTGTGAAAATAGTAGTGTATTTTGAGTTGGAAGAGAATTCAAAGCGAACAGTGGTTTTGGCCGAATATTTTCCAATCAAATATCAAATAGTTTTTTAAAGCCTTTCACTACTGTTGCACGATGCTTGAATGAAAACTAAGCTAAACTCGTGAAGGGTGTTCAAAGCTTCTACTTTTCCGTTTATAAGCTAATTTTAATCTTATATTTATGAACTGACCTCAGAAAGATTGATGCCATGGGTTGGCAAGTAAACCACATATTGTAAATATAATTAAACCTATAGAAATGCCCAGCTATACCTAATTAAGTGGATTTGCAATTCTTGCTATATGCAAATATTCTTTCGTCAATCTCAAATTAAAAAAAAAACAAGAATCATGAATAATGAAAGCAGATTGTTGAGGCACCTCTGCCTAACATACTCTTGCATAACAACCACAGCCTAACTTTAAATGTTTTACTGCCACGTAGATAACAACATTCACAATGTTTCCATTTCTTTTAAAGTGTGCTTTTCTCCCAAACAGGCAATTGTGATATTTATACTTTTCCAAGCGTTGATCGCGGCAGGTTATTTCGTTGAGTGCGCTCTTACCCAGCACCGGTCCGCTGCGGAGAAGCAACACCCGCGGAAGCGAGCTCTGCGGGTGGTGCTTCCCCGCAGTGCACCGGTGCTCGGTAAGAAGCGCTTAGGGGTAAACCCGCTGCGATCAACACTTAGAAAAATACAAATATCGCAGTTCATATTGAAGCAAATATTGAATAGTGTGTTATTCGAAACTACTATTCGAATATTCACACAACATTACTTCACAGCTCTATGCTGCGTTCACCCCTATGCAGACTGTGCAGTGGAAGCTACGTGGTCAGTGGACCAGTCGTATATCAATATTTTGCCACATGATCACTCTCCCAACCATATCCACACACAGAAAGCGGGATCAGGTTATCAATGAAAGGCGGCTGACTGGTCCGGCAAAGGCGTAGCTTTTGCCACACTGTAAGCTTAGGGGTAAACGAGGTATTGACAGTACGACTGGCAACACCACCAGAGAAATTGGTGTAGTTTGGACAGAAGTTCTCAAAATTAGGGCAGATGCAACACTTACAGCTTGGACAGAAACCCAACGTTTGGCAGATCTCATCGGGAGATAACTGCTGGATGATCAGTGCAACGAGCATGTCGAGGTAATTGTTCACCATGTCGATACACTTCTGTTTGCTTGACCCGGGCAACAGGCTGCAAGCTTTGTCCAGAAGTTGCTTGATTTCTTCCTGCAATGAATGTATCACAGCATTAAACCAAAATTTAAATGGCATGATATGCACAATATCATGTGTGAATACTGCCAGAAGTTCCTGTCAGACATGACAACTAGCTCTGTCTACCATAAAGTATCAAGTTGCAAGCACCACTGTATTAAAAGGGGGGGCAACTTGCACCACAGTCAAAGGTGGCAGCGGCGGTAAGAGGCATGCAGCCATGAGGGCTGCTGATGCGAGTGATGGCCACTGCCAGCTAGACAGGATGCCCGCAAGAAGATTGCAATCGCTAATTGACATGTAGAAAATAATTTCCTACACAGACTGATAAGATCACTAAAGATAACCTTCTCAAAGTCAGGAAGCATCACCGTTCAACATGAGCTTTTCATGTCCGTGACCTGTGATATTGGTTCCTAAGATTCTTAGTTCATGCAAGTCTGTAGATGGACACCAGTGCTTTAACTGCTACAATTTTTTACAAATTTCCACTGTCTCACTCGAAAAGATGGCTCACCCAATTTTTCTCACTTTTTTACCTCTTCGACATGGATGGACACTCATGCAGAGCTTTATGGCACGTTAACGGTTTGCTTGTAGTGACACACCAAAAAATCCCATGTCCCTCATGGATGGTGCCGACTATGAAGTGCACACTTGTTTCTTACATAAACTAACTGTAAGGAATTCCTGGGTAGATACTAGGCCGTCCTTGAAACAGGACTGCAGAACTGCAGACAAGCACATACCTCCGTGGCGTTGTCTTTCAGTTCACTGTAAACAAACTGGACAACGTTGATGCAGATGTCACACTCAGCACCCGACCTACTCTTGACAATGTGCACTTTGGGCTGGGGAACGGGGTGGACAGACGATGGCATTTTTTTCGCTGTCAAGGAAAGAACACGACAGCATTTGGTTCATTCCCCATTGCTACGAAATTACTTCCATTTTAATTACATTTCCATGCATTATTGACAAAAACAATGAACAGAAAATTTAAAAAAAGTGTGGAGCTCGAGTTAAACTTTGGTATAACGAAGTCAGTAATATCGGTAGCTTACTACCTTACACTAAAATTTACCTATATTGAAATTTAGAGCCCAGCATCCAATAACGCTTACGAAAAAGCCAGTTCCTGGTTCTTTAATAATGCCAACTTTTCAAGTATAAATATGCACCGAAATGAATATCTTTGAGCGGAGAAAGTAGTCCGCAACTCTTTTTTTCACTTTAATAGAAAGTATCAATGACATCACAAGGCACTCAAAAATCTCCAAGGGTATTGTAGAGCATCTTGTCGTTTTAACAAGTCGAACGCAATAAGCATTTCATGCGTGCTCGCAGTAAGATATCCCTTAAAATACACTAATAGGCCCGAAAATGTTGCTGACTCTCATAAGCCTACATTCTTTGGTAAGAATTATACATCATACCAAATTCTTAAGGGCTGTTACAGAAATGAAATCAACATATACGAATAGAAATTCTCTATAGCCATGAAAGCCCAGGGAATATAGTTTATTCCGTTCAAGTTTCTCCCCGTCTCATCCGTAAGCTCGCAAAAGCAATATAGGTTTATATTGAAGCCGAAACATAAAGGGTTCTAAGAAAAGAAGTTACAAAAAGGGCAATATCTTGCCAAATCAAAAATTTTGCTTCAGTGAACTTCATTAAATCAAGATTCAACTTTCAGCTCTGAATGCATCTATACCACTATACCGTAAAATACCGGGCAAGCGTCCACTCAAAATTTAGAAATAATCGTGAGAAAAGGGGGGAATGGGCGCTTGTCCGGTCATCAGTTTTACATATAAATGTACTGCGCCTATTTTCTCAGACCTTACAAATTTGGGAATGGGTGCTTACTAATATGGAATGGGTGGGTGCGCGGTATTCTACAGTACTCATTTTTACCTAAAAAAAAAGGAAGTTCTGCGCGTTGCTCATACGCCATGCAAAGTAGTTCCCACAATGTTTGAAGTAGCGATGCTTTTGGCGTTTAAAACATGTATTCTTGATAAGATAACATATACCTATCTAAAATGCACCTACGTATGTCTTACCAATTCTCTACATAAAAGAAGAAATCAGTAACGCTCTGCAAGGAGCCGGACTTCTTTTACTATGGTTCTTGAGATGAAAACAAGTATGGGTGCAAACCTAGCGTTTTGCCACCCTAGGCACCTTCCTCGACGCTAGCACCTGACAACTTGCTCCAGTTTGGACAAAGACTCCCCCGGTATGAAGAGAATCCAAACTTACAGTTTGGACAGAAGCCCACAATTTGGCAGAGCTGAGTGGGAGTCGTCTGCTGGATAAGCAGTGACACGATGATGTCGAGGTAAGTGTTGACCATGTTGACGCACTTCTGTCTGCTCTCCTCGGGAAAGAAACTGCATGCCTGGTCCAGAAATTCTTTAATTTCCTCCTGCAATGCAATCACCCTGGCATTAAGGCATAACTTAAATGGCACAATATGTACGCTATCATGCGTCAATAGTGCCATGACTTTGTGAGGCGCGACAAGTTACTCTGGCCACTGGAGCTACCGTGCAAACGGCCGCCTCCAAAAGTTGCCCGTCCAGCTTTCCTGGCTTGCATCCATAGGGTGAAAAATGCCGAGACATCGCCCACCCCACCAGAGATAATGGTTTCCGAATTTCAAACTGCAAATATTACAGGTAGACACTGGGACATGCCTCCAAAAGGACAAGAAGTAACTTTACTGCAATCGCGGCATAGCAATAAATGCGACCAAAACTGTGCAAACCAAGAAACTGCGACCACAAGCGTGTTCCCAAGTTCTCTTATTCACCACTTCATAAGTTAGCTTATCGTGTTTAAATAAGACATATAAAATGTGAGTAATACTAAAAAGTTTATGGAGGCACAGGCACAAATAAGCACATGCACCTGATTGCATGCAACGCCGCATCGGGATGCAGCTTGTGCCACCTAGTCCACGGTGGCAGCGGTGGTGAAAGTAAAGCATGCTGCTATGTAAAGTGCCCACACAACTGATGGACCTGGGCCCTACCCATCCGTTGTACGAGTCTGGCACGTCATGATCTGTGGTACTGATTTCTGGGTTATGAAAATTTATTGACGAGTATAACTTCGATTGCTCATTTTTGCACAAATTTCTGCCGTCCCACTCGGAAAGATCACACCCCTCAGATTTCTCACTTTTTATCTCGTTAAACATGAATGGGCATTTTTGCAGGACCTTACGGTATGCTGACTTAAAGGGCAACACTGGTCAATATTTTTTTTAATTTGGGATTACGACTGTTTTTAGCTAAGGCCGTGTCCCTGAATTACGAGGTTTTTTGTTTGCTTTTTTTTTATATTGTGTGTAATTTTATAAATATCGCAGCTCAAAGTTTCGTTTCGGGTGTCTACTGCAAAACCGAAACTATCTTCTAGGCAGATGGCAACACAGATCATCAGCCGCACGGCCGCGACGTGACGTCACAAGGGTCCTGCACCAGTGTTCCTCGGCTAAAAGCTAACCCGCTTGCCGCCCGCTAAAGAGCAGCTGGTCGCATTTTTAAAATCGGTTTTAGTGGAGTACGCGGCTTTCACTTTGACGTCATATTTCGGCCGTGACCATACTTCGTGCCACTAAAGTGATACCAGTCATTTATTTTGGTTTTGTTTTCGACCCGAACCGCCCTTTAATGATGGTAAATATGCACAACAAAGACGAATGTTAGTAAAGCATATAAAATAGCGCAAAAAAAGACAAGGACAAGAAGTATACAGGACAGGCACTAATTTTCAACTAGTTTTATTCAGGAAAAGTAAACATAATTAAACATGTTTACTTTTCCTGAATAAAACTAGTTGAAAGTTGGCACCTGCCCTGCATACTTCTTGCCCTTGTCTTTTTTGTGCAATTTTATATGTTTTACTAAGATGAACCAACTAGCCGAACAACGTACCTTACTCAAGACCAATGTCACATACCTACACTTCAACCGAAAAATTCCGTTCACATTACACACAGCGCTGCCTATGAAGTGCACACTCATACCTGACGTGAACTTGATGCTATAGAACGTTTGCATAAATAATTATGATCTGTTCCTTTAAAAAGGCATGCAAAAGTGCAAGCAGGCTCAAACCTCGGTGCTTTCATTCTTCAGTTGGCTGTACACATATTGTACGACGGTGATGCACATGTCACACTCGGAACCCGACTTATCCTTCTTAGTGTGACCTTCGGGCAGGGGACCGGGGTGGACAGATAGCACTTGCTTTGCTGTCAAGGAAGGAACACAAAAGCATTTGGTTGATTCCAATGTTACTTCCACCAACACCTGGGGCACACTTTGCCACAAGTTTTGCCGCATTGGGAGGTGCCTCCCCAACCTGGCAAATATTCCCACGCTGGCGGCAAAATTCCCCCTGAAGCTCCCCACTTCATTCGCAACCTAGTCATTTACAGGCTATTATTTTTTTGTTAATAGCACTAGTGCTTAGTGACATTGAAATAGCTCCAAAAATGACTATGCTACGGTATATACAGACTAAAAATACAAAGGGTTTCATAAGAAATTATAAAAAAATTTAATACTGCAGAACCTCGTTGATACATTCTTAATTAACACAATTTCCTGGTTGTTACATAAACAAGCGTTGGGCACATTAGGCTCTAACTGGAATATGTGTTTTAATTTGTCATTTTATCGCCTTGTCATCCCCAATGTTAAGCCCAAAAACTGCTACCCAACATTGCCAACACAACGCGTTGCACCGCCCAACCACATGCACCCCTTCCTCTTCCTTTTATTACCGTAAAACGCTCTTTGGTTAAGTGTTCGACGTTTCGTGAAGCCTAGACAAAAGCGTGGCCGCTTTGCTCGACACTGATTTGTTGACGTGTGGGAGAGGAGGAGTGAGGTGCTCGACACCGATTGGTTAACGGGGAGGCCATGTGACCAGAGCAGTAGGAAGAGGAGGTAGGCAGGCAAAAAGGAGCTCGAGAGTATGGAAGACTCTAGAAGTCTACCCATACTCAAATAAATACAATGCTTCCCTATAGCCACAGTCTAAGGAAGATAATCTACTGTGTCGAAGTTGCTTTCCATCTCATTTGAAGACTGCACAAGCGTTATCGGTCGTTATGTTTTCCCGTCTCATGCATTCCTTGACTGTAGTCCCCTGAGAAATGTATCAATGGGCTTCTACTGTACTCCAGCAAAACAAAATTTTTGTTAGACTGAACTTTGTTATGCAGAAACCCAACTGTAGCTCTGAATATATGCGTGCCATCAAAAGCAGACTGCATTTTGCCCCCCCTTCGCAAAATCACCGACGATGCTGCCAAGAAAACTGCCCCAATTTGAACACAAGCCCTCGCAGTTTGCACATGAGCTATACTTACAGTTTGCACAGAAGCCCAGTGCTTGACAGATCTGATCGGGAGACAACTGCTGGGTGAGCAGCGACACAAGCATGTCGAAGTAAGTGTTCACCATGTTGATGCACTTCTGTCTGGTCTCCCCAGGAAACAGACTGCAAGCTTTGTCCAGAAGCAGCTTAATTTCCTCCTGTAATGCATTCATCGCACCATCGAGCCACAACTCAGATGGCATAACGTGCATGCTGACGAGCGCCAATGCAGCCATGCATTTCTGTCAGATATGGCAACCAGATCTGTTCCATTGAAGTACCATGTTCAGACATACAGTATAAACCTGTTCTTTGTAGGTACAAACATAACAAAAATCAATGTCAAACAGTAGTAAGGTAGTAAGCTAGGCTATGCATTAAACATGATGATAGACCACACACAAATAGAAGACAGAACAGACGAGGTAGGAATTTCTTTCCTTGTCTGTTCTGTCTATTTGTGCGCGGCCTATCATCATGTTCAATGTCAAGCACACAGAATTTTACCGAAAAATGCTGCCTGCCTTACAGACAGAGCTAATTATGATGTGTATGCCCACGTATTAGAGAAAGGGTTTTTGCACTGGGTACCAAGGAACCCTTGGCTCCCAAAAAAGCCTCTCAGGAGTTCCCCAAACTCTCAAATTTCCTGGGCCATCCCTGTAACTAAGTGAAGCATTCTCCCAGTTTAAGCAGTTTTATTACATCTGAGCCATCCACCGATGCGCGACTATGTGGAAAACATTCCCGAGTATGTGCATTAATCTTTACAAGGTCCATAAGCTTTTGCAGCGCTTTACTGCATCGGTGTCGAGACTAGGAAGGGTTTCTTGACTGCCATTTGTGAGAGACAGGAATTCCTTGAGATCGAAAAGTTTGAGAAACCCTCTATATAAATGGGGAGTTATAGAATTTTTGGGATAAAAAGTGAATAGGACGGGAATGCAAGCAGGCACAAACCTCGGTGGCATTGTCTTTCAACTCGCTGTACACAAACTGAACGACATTGACGCACATGTCGCACTCGGAATCCGAAACTTTCTGGTTAATGACTTGCTTCGTGGGCTGGGGAATGGCGTGAATTGACGACGGTGCTTGCTTTGCTGTCAAGGAGAGAACACAATGGCATTTACTGGCCTCTTCATGTCTACGAAGTTGCTTCCATCTCATTAACATCGGCAAGCAGTACTATATCTTCCGATAACACTGACCAGTAAACTTGAAAGTCTGATTAATGAGTAAATCAGGACGGCCTTTGTCATTGCAATAACCAGAGGATCTACGGCATGTTAGGGCCCTACGTTTTCCGGAATTATATTTTTTTTCTACAAATCGGAACAGAGGGGGCAAAGTGGGTTTTATGTAGAGCACAAGTTCGCCTGCTTCTTGCTCAGGGGTTGCAGTGATGTCAGAACGCAGCTCTCTTATTGGCCGATTGAAAAAAATGGTGGGTAGACCTGAAGGCATCTAGCACTGAGGTCTACCCACTATCCATTCAATTAAAGCTCGGCATCGTTATGGCGTAACCGAAACTCCTGCGCAGGAAGCAGACAACTTGTTTTCTGCATAGCTTCCATAGAAATGAAATGAGACATGGATTATTTTCAACAGAACCCAATTTCCCACTAGTACAAAAACTAATACCTAGTACAAGTCTCAGAAAATAAGCATCACAGATATACCCTCACAAAAAATTTTCCTCGATTCCTTCAGACTCTGTTTTCGACATGTCCCCGTTTCATCATTTTCCTTTCTATTTTACCACCGTTTGTTTCACTTTATGCGCGAACAAAGCCAAAGCCGCAAGCACGAGCATGTTGCCTTGAATGCTGCTTGCACTGCATTAACGCACATGCTTGGCAGGAACGTGGAAAGTGTGGAGCTCCTCATTGTAGCATCTGCTATGCTAGCACTTAAAGTGAAGCACAATATAAAAGTCAATGTATCATAGAAACACATGTCCCTATAGGGTCTCAGCAGTGCAACAGCACCACCCCAGGGGCAGAGAACACTCACAGGATGGGCAGAAACCAAGCTGCTTGCAAATCTGGTCTGGTGTGAACTCCTGGAGGATCATGGACATGACAAGGTTGAAGTAGGTGTCCACGACACCGAGGCACTTCTTCCCACTCTCTCCCGGAAACAGTCGGCAGACGCCTTCCAAAAGCTGTCTGAGCTCTTCCTGCAGAATGGCACTTGTTAGCGAGGCATCAACGAGGACATTCACTGAAAAGACTCGCAGCACAAAGACACTTTCAAGCAATGACATAGACCCCGGGTCCGCTTTTAGTCAAGGCAAGAGCTTTTCTCGGCTGCTGATAGGAGATGGCGCCACTGCTTGCGCATAATCAACCAAATAAACATTTTTGAGCACTTCATGAGTTGTAGATAGCGAGGGAGGTCTTGTGGTTTACCATGATGATTATAACCCGAGACTGGGACAGGAGGAAATCTTTTTTACAGTGGAAGATAAAGTAACAGGGACAGATAGCGTTAGATGCTGTCTGTCCCTGTTACTTACTCTTCGACTCTAAAAAAAACTTTCCACCTTCTGGCCCTGTCTTGGGTTATAATCATCATGGTGAATGTCCACTATATTTGTCACTCTTGTATTCTCACTGCAGTCTTTTTGTAAATGTCATTACACTTGTAGAGAAAAAAATTTTGTAGAACAAATATAAATGGCAGAGTCACCTTTCAGCTCTAGTGTATTGAACCTCAATTTAAGGAAGTCACCAGGACCCGCTAATTATTTCGTTAAATTGGAAATTTCGTAAAATCGAGGAAGAAAGATCTCTTGCATAGGCCGCGCGGGGAATCCATATTTGTTCGTTAAATCAATAAATTCGTAAAATCAGATTTCGTTAAATCGAGATTCAACTGTAGTATACAACCTAATACCAAAAAGTAATATTTTTTATACTGTTAATCTTTTTCTACAGGTGTGTAGAAAAAGACATGAAAAAGAGCCAAACGAAGAGACATTCCCAAAAAACATGTTTGAAAGCAACACTGAAATGCAAAATTACAGACATTAATATTTTACACTGCTTAAGAAAGCTGAAATTTCTTGGGAATTCGCCAATTAAAATATAATTTTAGAGCAATAACAATTATTAATACAATGCCTACAAACCTCAGTGCTGTTGTTCTTCAACTCGCTGTACAAGAACTGGACAATGTCTTGACAAAAGTCGCAGTCTGAATAAGGGGAAACTCTTGGCGCCGGAGGCGCTGGTAAGAGAAAACGAAGACAGTAAAGGGACGGTTACACCACAAATCCATAAAACACTTTTGTGATCAGAGAAAAAAAAGAAAAGGATAAACAAGATTTTGGTTTAGAAAGAATGATGTATCCTACAAGGAAATTATATCAAGGTAAGAACACTCCTTTGCTTCTAGACGGTGGTTTTAAAAGCGCAAAGAACTAAGAAGAGAAGGAGGAGACAGGACAGGACCAATAAAATGTCCGTCTTAAAATATATTTGCAAAACTGAACATCTGCATTCTTGAATGTATTTGACTGCCAAATTGCATCCCTATTCAATCATTGCAAATTGTAATTTATCCCATTTTATAATTATTTTGAGTGAGTTGCCCATTTCCGATGAAGATCAATTGGCCCTTACCGCTGCAGAGGGTGATCATGTGGCAAATGACTTCAGGAGCGGCGTCTTCGGTGAGGAACTTGATGATGATGTCCCTGTTAGTGTCTATGAACGCTTTGCACTGTTGTTCTTCACTAGCAGGAAACAGGTCGCAGATGTAATCCAGGAGGTCAGCAATGGCCTCCTTTTGAAGAACAAATGATGAGAGCCATTAAAAACGGAGCCTGGGTCTGAGCGGCAATCGTGCAGGTAGTTGTGGAGAAAGATTCTAGGTTGACCTCAGTGTAAATGCGACTAGTTAGCTATGGTGGGATGTAAGCGAATGTTGGTGACTGGGAAGTGCAGTCATCTTTGCTTCATTGACCCTCCCCACGATAACACTAAGCTTGGCAGGGACACATGACCTAAAAGTAGTATTCTTTTTACTTTTCTTGATCGAACACCAGAAGTTAGCCCACTTTTTATTTTAGCTGGGCTATCTTCCGGGATGCCTATTACGGTATGTTTGGAACTGACACTAGACTGGAAACTTGATGACACAACCGCACAAAAACATTGTTATATGTAGTCCATAGAATCCACGAGTTGCGTAATCCGAAAAACAATTACAGCTGCAGTACTATGCCCTCCCAGACAAAGACCCATTTATGAAAATACGTGAAATTTCTATAAATATGTACGCACAAGCTAATAAACTGCTGGAGCCTAAAAAAAAACAAAAACCCTCAAATAAAAAAAAAATATTAAGGAACTGTACTGTAAAAGTGCCAGTGCCATGTTTTCATCTTACTACTCGAGTGTACATTGTGAAAAGAAAACAATGATTTTCTGTTGCGTGGAGTTCCAGTCACACAGCAAATTAGCAATGTTGTGGTGTGCACGCACAAGCCATGGAATGCAATTATATAACTTTGTTGCACTTTCGTGTATGTCGACACACCCACATCCACGTCTGCGACAATGTGTTAGGAACACTAAAGTGTTAGTTAGCAACAGGCAGCGGTAACTTTATCACAGATCATACTTGATTTTGTAGTGAACAATGTGGTGATTGTTCTGAAAGCATCTGGTGCCGACGCGGCTTTTGAGTTTGAATCGAATCCGAAGCGAATAGTGATTTTGGTAGGATATTTTCGAATTGAATATTGAATACTTGCCATTCAAAAAACTTGGCCGTTTTTAGAGGGAAGTTTACAGAAATACTTCCAAACTGGACTTCTCACGCTGTCGTTAGTCCATCTTGCCAACCGACTTACCTGCCGTCATTTTGACAATGTCTATGTCATCCACTCACTTTGTCGCTATATTAATATAATAATAATTTGAAATATTATAGTTTAAATGTTTTGAATCCGTGCTTATGAGTTTTATCGGAAATGAGAAATTTCTAAAGGTATTTATTTTTATCCTAAACTTGTTTTTCTAAATTTATGTCTGGACGCGGCGGTGGTGAGAAAAGAGTGCTGGCAACCAGAGTGCCAAGATTGGCAAAGATGGCGCCGGCATCCCTGGAGTTCGTTGCTCGGTTTCTTTTGCCCGTTATTAAAAAAGTTGATAAAATAATTACTATGAATATATTTCAAAGTTCCCACCATAATATTTATACTGTTTTGCCGAACGTGCGAGTATATTCTTGATTTTAGATATCGTTTCTTTCTGGTTTTTAGACAGTAAACAAACTTGCGATCGTGAGTTTGCGAACACTTCGAAAAGCATGAATATTACAACTGCTCTCGAAGCGAATATCGAATAGAGTACTATTCGAAACTACTATTCGAAAATTTGAATATTCGCACAACACTACTAATATGTTTGTTGAACAAAATCGCTATTATTTTTCTACATATCGCTTGAAGTGTGCACAGCATCATCACATCCCGACCGTCAAGTTCTGCAGTTAGAGGATCAAAAATGGCACTTACCACGGTCATGTTTCCAGGGAGAAGCTGCTCAGCGAGGTTGATGAGAGACTTGCAGAGGGAGCAGGTGATTATGTCACCCGCTGATAAAAAAAAGTATTAATTACAAGCTAGAGAGTCACCCAATTCACTCGTAGATATCACAGTATGTTGTTAAGGTTTCTACAAAAACAAATTTTGCCACAGAAGTTCACAGCTGAAAACAACATTAGGTAGGATTTTGAAATTTCTTTTTGTATACAGAGCAAAAAAACTGAATTAAAGTTGCTTTTTGCAAACGTAAAACTAGTTTGTGTGCATGCCCCTCCTTCGATATACAAAAATGCTCCATAGTTCTTAAGCGCTGTTCACACATGCAACCGGGTAGGACCGAGAGACAAGGCCGGTTTTTAAGCCTTTTGCGATGGCATAGGACCTACTCCGCAGCGGCGCATCTGGTCCTCCGCCATCGCAAGAGGCTTAAAAACCAGTCTTGTCTCTCTCGAAACTACTCGGTTGCAAGTGTGTGAATGGCGCTTTGTGCTTGGCCTCTTAGCCCAGAGAGAGCTGAAGAAAACAAATTGAAAGATCAGCTTGCTTCGCTGCGCCAGGAGAGTACTAAAACAACTTTCTCATTGCACCTTTTCCTTGAGCCCAACAAACTATGCTACAAACAGCGTTTACTTTCTGCCAAGATGCAAGGAAAGAGCTCTCACCTTTCGTTTTCTGGGAGGGAAACAGCTTTACCATTGGCAAGGCAGCAGCTGGAAATGATAAACAAAGGTGAACATTCAAAACCTAGTATACAGTACCCCCCCCCATTTTTGTGCCTCTTTATTCATCGACATTCTTTGGTTACGGTCATGAAGAGAGCACTTATATTAAAAAACAGTCTGAAAAGAAATAATCTACTTATATTTTAAATGTATAGGGCATTGCACGAAACACCTTTTCACTTCCAATAGGCCACGTTTCACCATGTTGATGAACAGCGTCTGCCACTTTCCCCATTAGACTGCGTGCAGACGGCCAATTATTGACGTTGCTTTTGGTATTGGTGAAATGCACAAGCGTGACAAGTGGCTCTGTCGACGACAAAACTTGGTAAGTATGTCCGGGGACATATTTGGGCCACATAAATCCGTGCTTACTGTATTTCTCCTCTCGGAGTCTCCCCAAAGGCACCTACTGCGGCTGTATTTCCGTCGCCGAGGGCTCAACTTCCCAATCGCCGAATCCTCTTAATAATCCTGAATAAAGACCAATATCTATTGAGGTTAAACACCAGCCAATGCCCTTTTACCTTCCTGACTACTGTGGCGGGAGCAGTTGATCACAATGCGAAAGAACTTGAGCGAATGGGACAGCGATGCCTCTGTGCATAGAAGGGATTAGAGCAAAAGTTCATCAACATGGCGTACACCACGATTTCAAACCTTAGGTAGGTATATCCAATGAAACCGCCCTACATATGGTAGTCTCTCGCAGCAATAAACGTCCATGTGAATTAAGTTGCTCCATAAATGCTGTTTCCTGTCGCATCTACAGGCTCCCAAAAGCGTTTCTTCTAGCTAAATTTTTCCCAAATTATACATTGCTTTACTGCGCTTTTCTGCAAGAGACATATCAACAGGATTCTACCGTATTTGTCTCTTTGTTATGCAGCAAATGAAGTTCAATTTGTTCACATCCTTCGCACAGATGAGATAGCATAAGTACAGGAGATGCCTACATGTGTTAGCCTCCAGGTACTTTGCAGGCAGTGCAGGAACCACTTTCACGAGAGGCATAGATTTGACCGACTTGTAGGAAGGGCCGACTTTCCCATACTTCTTCAGCTTCAGTTTCAGGAGGTGCTTCTGAAATGCCAACGTATAACCATACGAAACGAAATTCGGGAGTCTCCCAGGTAATGCGGGAGACTTGGCAGGTATGCGTATGCTTCAAGGATGCAATTTCAAGATGAGGAAGTTCGCAGTGAACCTCAAGAACCAGTGTCGAGCATTTGTTTCAATCGTCAATTAGATTTAGCCCGTTTGTGTTCTCGAATAAGCCTGAATTGTAATTCAAGTCAGGAACAATTACATGAATGACATTGCTAATGAACAACTGCCCGAAATAATGACAAAAGATTCAAAGCCCAACCGCCTGGATGTCAGAAAAAGCGTAGTGCCCGTTACCTTTTGTTGTTCCGACGATGGGAAGAGCTTCATAATAACCTTGTTCATGGCTTTCTCCTGCGAGTTCATACCTCCCTTCGAGGTCTGCTGGCACAAGCCAATGGCGGCGCAGAACTCATCGGGGGTCTGGAAAAGGGAACATCAAGTCTCCTTGGGTCTGTCAATGCGAACTATTGTCCAATTTCACGAAAACAAAACCTGAAATTATATCTTTCTATGAAGACTAAAACATTGAATGTACTCACAAGTGCCTCGAGAAGATAGGAGTATGCCATGTCAAAGTACTCATCGAGCAGTTTCTGGCACTAAAGGGGAAAAGGAGACGAACATGTTGGCAATGGCTGCAAAAATAAATAGCAATTGCAAGGTGCAAGACAAAAGGTTCCCACCTCCTCGGCTGCTGAACCCAGCTCTTCGCAGAAGTTCAGGAAGGCTTCTTTCAGCTCTTCCTGAAGAATGAAAAACCGAATGCAAATACTATAACAAAAGAGTATTCGTAGAACTGATTGGCTCACAAAGTTACAACTACAAATAAAAAAAAATAAAAAATTAAATCTAAAGTTAAATGCAAATTAATTGCAAATAACAAGACTTGTTGTTGAGCTAGTTTGTGTACGACGCTCAGGAAACATACATACAACTGCAAATAGAGAAGGGCATAAATGTTAACGCTGGTCCGGGTCCATCTCTCTTTGCACTTACAAGTTTCCTGAGCGTATGTGAAGGGAACATGAATATTCGGATAAATACTTATATTGAATGCAAATAGAACTGACCGCCGTATTAGGATCAAATGGCAATTCACACAGAATAAAACTACTAGTCTTTCCCAGTAAGACCACTTTCATCAAAACTACTCAAGAATCAGTTTATTTTTAATGATGCAGCACCAAAGAAGAAAAATGAGGCACTGTTTACTCCAATAAAAACAACTGGTATTCTGGTTTTTTTATTACCAACAGTGCATTTTTGTTAAAGGAATGTCCGCTTTTGATAAGTCGAGGAATATGGAGCAATGCAGAGACAAAATGCTCACGACTATGAACAAGCTGGCTTATCGACTGCATTCAACACCAAAGTGGAGCCTGAGATAAATATACAACTTTGTGCACGATCAATGCACTGTTCATGAGAGATTGTGTTAAGAGAAAAGGGAAGATGCCGAGACACAGACTCATTTCATTTCCTCTGAATTTGTAAAGGCAAGTCCTAATCACAGGCCACTGAATTAGATGGTAGCAAAACACTCACCGTAAAGGCGTCTTAAAAAGATTGTCCACTTAATTTTTTTTTTTTAAAGATTTATTTATTTTTGTTGTAAAGTACCCAAGACGCACTCACCGCCCTTTCACTGAAAACTGGGCTAATCAAGACTTGTCCGGTCAAATCGATAAAAACCAAGACGGCATCCAATAAAGTGCTTCGAAGGCAGGGTGAACGGAATCGGAGAAGGTGTGTTTATTTTTACATGATACCTCCGTCATTGCCGCAGCCAGTCTCGGGGCCGCAGCAACAAGGTGAATATTTTTGGCTGATGCCGGCGCTTTGGAGGGAGTGGGCACTTAATGTGCAATTTGCAGATGTCCCAAGTTTGGGTAAAGTTAATAGTGGGCGTTTGTATGAAGTAGGTGCTTTCGTAGTAGTATATTACAGTATATGCTCCAATAATTCTAGAAACTCTCATATCATTGTTGTGTATACCTCACTTCGATAAAGACATTGTCACGAACGAGACACAATTTTTCACTGCTCGCTTTTTTTCACTGCACTGCTCCACGTCGACGTCTCACTTCGAATGCATTCCTTCTATAGAAATGGGGCACGCATTTTTTAGATTTTTAGAATCCTCAGAACACACATATCAAGTTATCACCTTAAACAGGCGAGGTGAAGAACTGGTTCATTGTATCTTTAAAGCTCGCATGAAAAGAAGGACCAACCCCGGCAATATTGGGAGCGAGTAACTATGATGAAACGGAAGTATTCATAAAAATGAAAATGAGACAAACCTGAGTTGCATTAGATGCCAGGATTTGTCTCAAATGCTCCACTAGCTGCTTACAAAAATCACAGGTGAGATCGTCATTTGCCTTGGCGAATACGGGAACCTAGAAAAAAAAATGGTAAATTTAAAAAAAAAAAAACTTGAACAGACAACTGACTTTATGATAGGCTCTCCATCTAACATGCTGGCTCTACTGATCAATATTAAAAAGATAAAGACCAAGCATACCTCTAGCTTTGTAGAACCAACAAGTGTGCAGTGCTTCAGGTGGGCACAGAAAGCATCTGGATTCTTTTGAAAAGAAAAAGGCAACATAAAGAGCAGTCAAGTACTAACTTGTCCAGAAAAAATAAAACTGCCAACAGCAAGCAAATTTGAAGAGGAAGTAAAAATGCAGATAAACTGCAAAGTTAAAATATTTCGAAGGTTGTTTTCTGTTGCAGCAAAAGTAAAGCTGTTATCCCATTGCATAGACCCAATGATGTTGATCCTTACTGCAGTGTTAAAAAATGTTTTGCATCTTTTAAGAAGTTTTTATGCAGAAATAAAAAAAAAGAAACAATGAGAGGAGCAAATTCTCACCATGGTGCGTAGGAACTTGAAAACTGGAGGTAAAAACACCTTTGCAATAGCTTGACACTAGAGAAAAAACATAAACACATTTAGGCCTGAGTACACTGCAATGACTCAAATCTAATTAAATAATTAGCCTAGAAATTAGTAAGGAACCGAGTGATGAGTATTACCTCCGGTGACTGGTTTCCGAGGCGATTCTCACAAGCCTTCAGGACTATGGATGTCATCCGTTCCTGATTGAATAAATTTGCAGGCTTGAATCAATTTGAGAGCTTGAAGAAGCAAAGTGACAAAGAGCAAATGCTTCCAAAGGACATCACATTTTGAAAAACTTACTTTAAATTTATAAGTTGATGTTAGAAACTTCTGTTGTAGACTGTTACAATTAACTATTTGTACACTAAATGATTTAAAAAAATTGTATTTTGTGTGTTAGGAATAAGTATGTACAGTAAAACCTTGTTATAACAAAATGGGATATAACAAACTAATGGATATAACAAAGCAATCATAATTCCCCTTGCTTGCTAATATAGTGAGAAGATATGGACATTGGCTATAACAAACTAATGGTTATAACAAAATAATTACAACCGCTCCTTCAACTTCGTTATAACGAGGTTTTACTGTAGTACACCGGTATGTTTACAAGTTGTAGCTACATGAGGTCAGGTTTTAACACAGAAAGGTTCAGTATATGAGTCTAACAACTTTTGTATAGTTCTTTTTGTAAACATTTTCTTATCCTTTCTCATTGCAACAGAGCTTGAAATGCAATATAGGACAGAACGTGATCGCATAATGTAATTTCCGCACCAATGAGCAGTAAATAGATATTCACCTCCGAAATCTTGTTGAACATTTTCTTCGAGTACTTCATGGCATCCTTGCACAACACACAATCGGAGCTCTTCTTAGTTGCCACAACAGATGTGCTGGCCTCGCTCGAAGGCAAGAAAACGCGAGACTGGAAAGACTGGGAAAAAATTACATAACTGAGTTTGTGCGTATTTCATCATACCTTCATTAGACCAGATGCACTGCTGTGCGGAAGTTTCAGGTGGATGAGAATAAGACAAAAACCTGGACACAATTTTTCAAGAAGGAACAGTATTACTAATATAAGTACAGCTTTACAAAACAGAACATTGCAAGTTACAATTAAAGACTTGAGCATGTTGGTGATCTAAATTGACTTAAAACAAAAGAAACACACAAGAGGACGAAACAAACGACACAGCTTTCGACTTGCAACGACAGATTTACTGGGGCGGCTAGCCGCTCCGGGCTCGACTTGGGGAGGCGATGGGGAGAGGGGGAGCGGGATGAGGGGTGTTGGATGAGGGGAGATGTAAGAGACACAGGGAGACCGTTGCAGTAGCGAACACTGCGGGCGGTTGGGAGTCTGCTCTGTGTTGCCTGCCTCGCTCGTGGCGGAGGTTCGGGATTGTTAGCGCGCTTGCACATTCTGCCGAATTTGAATTTGCCGGTGAAAAGAACCCTGGTGTCGAATTTATGTGCTAGTGCACTCAAACGATGGGATGTGTTGTGCACGTAGGGAATGCATGCAGGGCGGAAGGAGAGAGGTTTGGGTGGGGAATCCAGCAATGTCAAGAAAATAAATAAGCAATAAACACTTCGTTACATAAAATTATCATGTGAGGTTCTAGCTCTGCCAAAACATACACAACCAAGGGATGCCAATGTAATGGACTTCTTCCAAAACCGACGCGCCCCATCGCGGCGAAATACCACGCAGTGCACTCTGGGAACTAGTTGGCCACTCAGTTTCGGTTTCGACTGAGCAGCTTCATCTCATGCTATCACGCCGCGACCGAACGCGCTGCTTGCATTTTCGTTTACCTGACTCTTCACGAAGGTACAACACACTCATTCTCGAGCGATACAAAACGAAGACCGGGGCACTTTCCTTGGTTCCCGAAACACTGGATATTGTGCGTGCGTACGCGAACGTAGTAAGTCGTGGCTTAGTCACCTCACCCCACGAGTGGATCTTTGAGCTCAATGTCAGTAATCCCGTCTAGTACCAGAGAACTACAACTGAAATTTGTTCGTCTGGAGCCTTACACGCATTTTGTTTGCCAAATGTCCGCTTCTCGTTACTTCATTGGGCGAAAAGCAAGCCGCATCCTCGCAGGGTATCAAAGTTGAGGCCAGCGTTTACGCATGAACTTTTAAGGAAACGCAATAAATTCGACCTCACTACTGCACAAAAGGTACTATGATGTCTTCCTCGTGTCATCATATATCTCCCACTAGAATTGTATGCTGATAGAAGATTAACTTTTCGCAAACGCTGAGATCGGCTAGCTACGACGGAGGCCCTAACAAGCGTCCCCTACTCCTCGCTAAGCCTTTTTGGACGAGCTTTTACTGACGCCCGAGATCTGTGCCGGGAACGGTGTGTCTGAAATTATCTCGGCATACTCAGGCAGGAAGAAAGCAAACACATAACAAATATTATGGCCATTAGCAGTCGTCAAATGCGCTTTGAATCCGTTCGACCACTTGTCTGAAGAATGTCGCACCGTGCGCCGGACGGGCATGCATGAACCCCAATATAGGGGTTCATGCCCGTCTGACGCACTACCGGCGAACGGTGCGACATTCTTCACACAAGTGCTCGACTTTTGCATTCTTAAAACGGCCTGTATGCGCGAATTTGCCTATATGATTGCAGGATAACTTTATGCGCATACGCGATGTCGAATATTAGTGGAATGCAAGTGGGTAGGGACTTCACTTCGTGCAGTGCTGCGGGTCAGTACAAATAAGAGATAAGTGTGTTAAAATTGAGCTTTTCAATGGCACCTCCGAGTTCTACCTCGCGTACTCAGGCACATTAAGAAAAACAGCAATTGCAAAAAGTAATATTTCGTCTATGAACGCACGAAGCAAACTTCCTGATCAACAACACTAATGTAAAGGCGCGAGCTCGATGTATGCATACTTATTGGTTGCTACAGCTTGTTGATTCGTACACAAGCAAGATCCCCGAGCACCCGAGCTTCGCAGCGTCGAGACTCCCAGCACTGGCTCGTCCACATACCTCGATTGGAACACTAACAGGAGGGCTCAAGTACAAAAATACGACAAGCATGTGTTAAGACAAGCTATAAGTCTCTGGATTGTGCTAAAGCTTCGAGGTATGACCATTTAGCTTAGTTTAGAGACCACAAATGACGCTCTCGGGACCAGAAAACAATCTCTTGTCGACGTGTCGATCGAAACCGAAACCATGCCACCCTCCTCCCTGGCCAACTAGTTCCCAGAGTGCAACGCGCGCCGTGTTGCATGCAGGGCTTTATGGAAGTAGTCTATTGAAGATACTGCAAAAGGAAGATGCGGGCAACCCGAGCATTAAATAGTGACGGAAGGTAAGCTACAATTGAGTTTCATTACTTACAGAAAGAAGCAGGCTTTGCTGCAGCTTGGTTTGAAGTCCTTGGGTCATGAAGTCAGGATTGCAGAGGCCAGAAATGCTGCACACTTGATTAGGGTCCTGAAAATTGATGGGGAAGACAGTTATCGAAACTGACAAAAGGTTATGTCGACGGCACTTCAGCTAACCATGCCAAACCACCACCAGGAACTTCTCAAGTGTCCCCTTTTTATGACTACCCTGCCTCCACCATTAAAAAATGTATTCTCACAGCTTAGCCGAGATTTCAGCATCACCGAGACCGCTGATGTCAGCCTGGCAATCTCATTTTTCTTACTAACATGTAGATCTGCATTCTTATTGATGTAATCAAGAAAGCATATAAAGTGATTAATTGCTTTGTCAAAAAAGCATTAAACAGCCACTAAAAAGGTGTCAAAAAATAAATTGTACACAAAAAATATACTTCAAGAGCAATGGTGACGGCGCGAGACATGATGTAGTCGGTAGTCACCCCCTCCCCTTGTTTTCTCTCTCGGCATTTCGGGTGTGTGGAGGAGAGGTAGATCGGCTCGGCCATCACGTTGAGATGGACAGAGTGTATGACCATCTCGTTGAAGTGGAAAGAGTCTATGACCATTCCGTGACGCCATGGACTTTGCTCGTAGGATTTAAAATAAATCTCGCGCCAACAATATTGCTCTAAAATTTTTTTTTAGGGGCGAAGCTCCTTAGGGTCTAGCCTTGTCCATTCGGCGTCCGTGCTCACATCGATTGCCATCCCATCTGTCTTCTTAAAAAAAGAAAAAATGTTGGCGCAGTCGACAGGATGTGAACCTGTGCGGGGGGACCCCAATGGATTTCTAGTTTATCGCCTTAACCACTCGGCCACGACTGCGGGACGAGTATGGGGCTCCGAGAGGTGGTAGTAACTCAAGAGCTGGAATGTCATGGATGAAACGTTGCATGTATCGGCTAAACGTCTATACAGGAGAGGGCACTGCGGTCAAATGCGTATATAATCGGGTTAAACTTTGCATGCATTGGCTCAATGTTTATAGACGGGAGGGCGCCACGGTCAAATGCTCAAAAGCGTATATAACCACGTTCCATACCACACATTCCATACCAATGAAACCCAGAACTCAGCACTACCTATGAGCAATAAAAAAAAAAAATCAGCACCATCAGCACTACCTATGAACAAAATCAGTATCATCAGCCCCACCAGAACTTCGTCCCAATCAACATCATCCACCACGCGGAGATGCGGCCATTTTTTTCTAAAAAATTTATTTTAAAATTTTTTTAAAAGAAAACAAATTCTCTTTTTAGTGGCCCTTTAAGGGAGAAGGGTTAATGACCCCTCTTAGGAGTGATAGAGGGTCACCAGAGACTGAAAAGTTTGAGAATGCTTAAAGTCCCATTGCAAGGCCAATAATTCTAACAGTTGAAGATTGCGGTGGAGAAAACTATGCTAAATGCTGCTTTTTTTTAAAAAAAAGGAACCATACAAATCTAGTTTAAAAAAACATCGCAATAGTACTTGCAAAGATGAGCACTTATGCAAGGAATGCATCTTGCAGAACAATGTTCTTGTACCTTAGCCCTTGGTAGCACTGCAGTGTTTATGCAATAGAGTAAGAGCCCACTATTCTACAATTCAGATTTGAGCAATCTAAGTTATGAAGCAACTCATTACCACTTCAATGACACAGAGAATTGAATTCCCCAAAAAATATTTAGGAAAAGGCACCAAAGAAAAAAGCTGATAGAAGCAGCAGCAAATTTGTGAGCACTATAGCGTCATTCACATAGCAACAGTCAAGCCATGAATCCCAGTTTTGCACTGTCAGATGTACAACTCTGATAATAGGTAGCAGGCGATAAAATGAGGAGAAACGCTGCGAATACAAAAGCCCGATAGCTCCTGTCCATTTATGAAAAAACATGTTTTGGAAATAGACAAAAGATGCAGGCATAGCGGGCGAGATAACATACTAAGCTGAATCATCCTATTTGGGATGCAACTATCAGTTGGGGCAGAACCTCATTATGAACTTTCACCTTGAAAATAATACAAAGAATGTATCCCACACCACAAGTTTGATTTTGTCTGTTTGTCTTTAATGTCCCTCTTTCCTTATCGTAAATTAATAACCAACACGCCTCAACCATCTACATTACAATCCTCAAATGCATGACATCTGTAGAGCATCGTCAACAGCACATCGCTGGTGCATTTACTGGTAGATTTTTTCAAGATAATTTAATAAATGATAATTCAGATACCACCCAAAACACTGCTAATAAATCTACTATGGGATGCTTATCAATGCAGAAAAAAATGTAAGAAAGTATTATTTTAATTTACCTTCAACAAAATTGGTATAATAAGAGCGGGCCCATTATTAACTTATTTTACGAGTAAAAACGAAGTCAAATACTACAATACCTATAGGGTGACATACAAAGAAGACATGACAAGACAAGATGCAAAGGTGCCACATTACGAAGATACACACCATTCTCGAGACGAGCATGTCGATCAGGTCAGGAATAAGGCTGTCGACAACTTGCCTGCACTATAAGGACAAAAAGGATACACCCGCATTAATTATGGAGGAATAAACCGGCTCGCCATATTTCGGACCTTAGTTCGGACTCTTGAAATCACCACTTTAAGCACTTGAAAGGGTAAGTCAAGGTATAGATGCCTGAAAGTTGTAAGCATGCATTTGAAACTACTGATACTTTGTATCATTATTTTTTAAGTTTTCCTGCTGAAACTAGTGTGAAGCCAGTTCTATAATATAATGTGGGGATGAGATTGTCAGACATGGTCCAAGTGAGACAGAAAATGTAAATTACCAAAATAATATATAATGAACACAAATAGGTGTTACCAGAAACTGAACCCCCATTTAGCTGAACAAGAGAGGAACAGAAGGCTATAAGCTTAACCATTTTCGAATTACATTACACCAAATTCATCAGGGGCTTGAAACCAACCCGAGATTTATCATTTCACTGTTTCTCACAGACACTGAAATTTAACCTGGCATTTTAAAAGTTTTGATTGCTCACCAATTATAATTAGGCAATAAACTTGAGTAAACATTTTTTCCGTAACGGATGACCTTTGGAAAGCAACTCCATTCAAGAAAATCATGCCTTCCGAACACCGCATTCCACATCCAGACTACTTCATAGGAGTGTTTGAGTTTAAAATTTCCAACCATAAATTCTTATGCAGTGTCTAGTGTTAGGTCCCACAGAAGCCGAAAGTTACCTCTGACGTAACTTTACACCAAGGTTTTGAGTTATGTCAGACGTAACCCAATATGAAAATTAAAGTTACGTCCGACCGAGTATCACATTACCATTCTATCTCTCTTAATAATTCCTTCGAATAAAAGTGACTCTCAGAAAGCGTCGCAAGAAATCATCTTAAAGGAGAAAACAAAATTGTCTTAAAGAAAAGGAAAACTCGAGAACGAAAAAAATTAAACAAGGCGGGCATCTGTACCTGGAGGTACAGATTTAGCCGTGATTTTAACCAATTGAAGAATGCTGCATCAGACTTAACGTATGCATTATTCACAAACGTTTGAGTTTACGTCATGTATCGGCCGTAAAGCGTAACATTCAATAAGCTTGCGTAGGTTACACAGCATGTAGCTTTAACTTTTATTCCCGTCGGACGAACCTAACTTTCATAATCATTTCGAGTTCCCTCGGACCTAACTCGAAAGCTTGGGGTAAAGTTACGTGGAACGTCACTTCAGTTTTTATTTCAAGTTCTGTCTGTCTCTGAGATAACTTTAATTTTCAGATTGGGTTACCTTGGACCTATCTCGAAACCTTGGGGTAAAGTTACATGGGACATAACTCCAATTTTTATTCTGGGTTCCCTCAGATGTAACTCTAGACACTATGCACAAAAATCACATTTGCAAGTGGCAGTATCTGATTTACTACATACAAAAAAATTACTACAAAGTATCAGAAGGGGGAACACAAGCTGCAAAACCTGCTACTGCTTCAGCCCCACACACTAATCCAAAAGTCTTTGATGCACAAATGCTACTTGGCTCTTGAGGCAGCGACCCCTCAATCACTTTTATCATGACCACCGTAAGATACAGAAGCGCCCACCCCATTCACTGAAAACTGGGTTACTCTAGACATGGGTGCTCGTCCTGTCAAATCGAGCACTTAATCTATATAATTTGCAGAATTCCCAAGCTTGGGAAATGTTAATAGCAGGTACTTGAACGAAATGAGTGCTTCCACTGTATTTTTTAGTAATAACACGATAAATAGTTTTTTCTCATCAGAGTCAACATGCAAAGCTCACCATCTTTGAGATAAATCCAACAGGTATGAGGTTACAGCTGCCTTCCAAGACTTCTTTGAGTTCCTCCTACAAAACAGGTGTGAAAACAACTTACAATCTAAACCTAGTACTTGTGGCAAAAAAATGAGCTTTGTATTTGTATATTGTAAGGTAAATATCTAGAACTTTATAAATTGGCTTCAAACAGAAACTTTGATGGGCTTCAAAGAGAAAATTTCTACTTTTTAAAACAAAAGCGAAAAATTTTTCACCTGAGTTTCATTGCTCAGAAGTTGATCTCTGGCTTCTTTTACCATTTCTTTGCAGATATTGCATACATTGCTCTGAAAGGAAGGCAGATCAGATCATATACAGATGAAAAACATATGGATGCAACACAAAAGCTTTGTAGAGCTGATAATGAACATAGGCTTTTTATCGAAAAAGAGCAGGGCATCATTTTAAAACACAATGAGCAGCTCTGCAGTCTATGGGAAAAAAGATAAGGGGAAAGGAACTATAAAAAACTAAGCTTGTGCAAAACACACTTTAGTAGATATAATATGGAACTCACTTATCTATAACCTCCATATTAATAACATCACACTACCACAGCCAGATATTAAGCATCAGCAGGGTATTGAGAGGAATTCAAAACTCTTCAGCCAAACAATCTAAGTCTGCTCATACCAATGTAGTCGTTTCCATCCAAAGGTTAATAAAATCATAATCTTCAGGCTCATAAAGTGACCAATGATTGACCACACCGCATTTGGACCACACACTTGGCCCAAATGTAGTGGAAGCAGTTGGGACAAGATCCAAAGTCTTAGAATGTAAGGAAACCTGCAGTAAAAGTGAGGAGCAATTCTCTAATAATTTTAATGAGAAAATGATAGCCCAGGAGGCTGTGATGCACCGAGGTGAATAGTATCTGCTGCCACAACTGAATGCTATTTCCTCCTTGGAAATCCCAGAAAATTGCTTTTGTTCCGAAACTTTGGTAACCAATCTCAACCCCTAACTCTACATCCAAGTAGAGTCCGAGCCTTGGACATTGCATGGTTTATTTTTATGGTGCCAAAAACAGTCTGCTTTTGTCGTCAACACCCTGTATACCGTATGTCATATCAAAGAGTAACAATTACTCAGTCACATATTCTCCAAGAAGCACACTAACCACGAGCACTTACGTTGTCAAGAGGGACCTCCAGCTTTTCCCACACTTCGGTTATGCAAGTTTTGACTTTCTTGCATCCGGACGCGACCCACAGGTCTTGACATGATGTGCTCAGGGTCTGACATACTTCATCGGACGGCTGGATTAATGGCAGGCTGTTGGCTGCCGTAACTATGAAGAGAAAAGATATGCATGCATACAGCCTCAAACGGCACTGGATTTTACCCTGCCAACTTTACATGTGTGCAAGCCATCCCCATCATCCTTGCCCAAAGAGAAGTAAGCTCCGACGACTGCTCCTTTTCATTTGGCATGATTATGTCAATCAGAAATCTGCTTAACCTTTCATGCCTGCCAACAACTGCTTGCTACTTGTTTTTAATTGTGTCAAGTCTATGTTAACATAGAAATAATCAGCATCCTTGTTTAATGGCATGCTTTGTGGTGCATCTTTACATGCATGTGACCCAGGAACATCACATATTCAGTTCAGTGTGCCCAGAAACAAATGTATATACATTTATATTGATTCAGAACACAGCGGTTACATTTCAAAAGCTACAACGATGTCAGATTTCGATGCTCGTCCCATGCAAGCCGCTGAACTTGATTTTGAATTGTTTACAATCAACCACATTCCATATTTCTGTCCCTGCGTTCCTTCTTTCGACTTTCCTCATTGACAAAGGCCCTGAGCCAACTAACAATGCAGATAACGCAATGTGGTAAACAGAACAAAAACCAGTGATCCAGCGCACAGGTGACTGAGGCATGCATAGTGGTGAATAACGCGTAACAAGTGTGGCCCAGTATTCAAACAGATACATACGCACCATATCTGCAAGTACGAAAACAAAAGCATTCAGAACAAAACATTATTCAGACATCGACATAAATTTCAGATACCAAACCACGAAACACAATATCGTGCAGTAGCACATTTTAAAACGCAGCGAGCGCGGAACGACCTATTATTTCAGGCCAGTCAACAACTACGTAGCATGGGGGGCAAATATTTGAACTAGGAAATTTGCACGTTAATATTAGGAAATGAAATCCGCCAATCGCTTGTTGGAGCCCCGAGTTCTTGAGTGGGCTCCAGAAGCATCGACCAACCCTTAAAACGTGCATAGTCATTCATGCTGCTTTAAAAAGAAACAACACCACGACGAGGGTGAGGCGTCTCAAAGAAAAAGCCAGCTTTTCATTGTCTCAAACCAAACCGCGCAGACCGTCAACGGCGCGGAATCGTCCGCATCTGGATGTGACATGAACTTCAGAGAAAAGTTACGAAATGATCGCGGATGATGCACCGATCGTACTCACAGCACAAAAGCGTAGTCACGAGAAAAATCCCCGCGACCATCTTCGCGGGTTATTGCTGCGGTAGTCCGCAAAGGAGACGAGGGCACACTGGAACAAGAACCAAACCTGCAACAAGCAACGTAAAGACACAAAACGCGCACGGAGCCGTGCGTTTTTGTTCACACGAAGGGTGAAATCAGCATCATATGATATGCGACGGGGGCGACGGGTAATGCCACACGCCACCGCCACTTTCTCTCCACTCTCCACGACGTTTCCTCCTCTCTTTCCACTTCTCTTCAAGAGATTTTGCGATGGCTCCAAAATCTCCCTAGGTTCTTCCCTAGTTTTCTTTTTAGGCTCCCCAATGCAAGGTTGGCTTCAGCTTTATTAATTTTAATGAAGCATATTTATTTTATTTAAATTATATTTGTTTCATTTAAATTAGATGTATGTAATTTAAGCCAAATTTATTTTATTTAAATCAGATTAATTTGATCTTAATCACTGTAGCTCAACAATAATGATTCTAGATACAAAGGTGTATTTTCCTTTCCAAAAAAGAGCTCCTTGGTTCCTGGCCGGTTTCATTTTCAGTGTACGTGCGTATGCCGCGTTATTTGCTCGCTTTCCGAAGCGACGAACATTCGCGTGCTGGACTGAGGAGAAAGGAGCATCAAGGAGACGCCAGCACGTGCGGTGAGTGGAACACCATTCCCGGCATTCCCCTTGATGCTTGAGTGATTTAGCAAGAGGTCTATTGTAGGTGTTGGAATGGTGTATACACGGCAGATTAAGTGGCCAATGCGTGCGATCATCGATAATATTGAGGGAGAAATAATTACTGATAAAGGGAATGTAGTACTACTGGGCCAGTTGGTGATTCATTGTATAGGATAAAAGCGCTAACAAGACGACGGACGACTAAAAGGACGACGAACACCACAGAGCGCTACTTGCAACTTAATTTTAATAATAGTAGAAGGAAGAAGAAAAAAACATATACACCGTGATTTCAACAAGACAGGCAAAGTGCTTCGTCAACCTACATCTTAAAATACTCTAAATTTAAAGTAGCTTGATTAACAACATTTTCTAGATCTAGACCTGCCAAATCGATACAAAAACAGCTCGACTTTTTTTTTTTTTTTTTAGATAGTTAGAAAGTTTTTATTGCTTTCTTTTCCGCGTTCTGATTTGCTAGCAATGGGACATTACTTTTCGTATTTAGTTCCTTTCTTTCGCATTCTGATTTGCTTTACGGAACGGGCGAATGGGGTGGAAGGTGGAAAGCTGAACTCTGCGATTGCTCGGAAGAGCACTGCCTTCTGCCGGTATTCAGCCTGATATAAACATTTCTTCCGCGACGAGTTTTTGCTATAAATACAAGCAAATGCACGAAGCAAGAAAGCATCGAATGATAGAGAAAAAAAATGTAGATAAAACTATATTAGTGGGATTATTTTTGTGGGAAAAGTTTGATTTAATTCGTCGTGGTAAAACTGCCCTGATTTAAATCATCCTGATGTAACGTGTTAAAAAAGGCGAGCCACACCGCATGGTAAGATATTGACGAGAGAGTGGAAACAAAAATAAATGTGAATGTGAGCGAGGAAAAATGTTTGGTGATTATATCGGTTCATAGCTTCCCAGAAGTGAATGTTACATAACAAAAAGTCTGACTTCTGCGTTCATTCAACATGGATAATGTCTGGGCGTCTTTTGTGAGTCACTGTGGGCTTTACTAGTGTCATCCATTCGCTTCTTCTTTTTTTTTTTCTGTAGCTTGATAAACTTTATTTGCGAAATTAGATGTATTTAACTTTTAATGAGAAGCACCTCATCTGGCTTTTGGTGATTGGACGGCAATATATCTTTGTGCTAGAATCACATGTTTATACACTATTCATGTCGAATAGGCAGCTAATTGATTGCTTTCAGCGCAGAACAATAGAACAATGCACCTTTACAGTAACCGCCAGATAGCAAACTGCGAGAAAGAAAACAGACGTTCTAATTGTGCACTTCAGCAATTTTTTTCCCCGAACTATCACCACATTTTACTGAAAAATAAACACCTCCGCAAATAAGCCTTAGTATAAACATTAAAAAAAAATGGTTTCGGGAGGCACAACTAATGAGCTCACCGAGCAGAATACGACAACCACTCCTTGAATCACCGATCCATACAGCTCACCCGTAGAAACAGATGCCCTCACGTTTCCAAACACATCGGCTCGTGATGCGTCAATTGCTTGCACTTACTCGAAGTTTCTCGGAGCAGCAGCCCAAACAGCACGTTCGTTGTGCGCATGCACATGTACGTGTCTGTTTGAGTTTTTTCTTAATTTTCGAAAAGTTCCCTCCCACAAGCAGACATTCAAATCCCACATTTTTATGAGTGCGTCGTACACATACCTCACTCGCATAGCATAAGCAAGCGGACTTCATATTGCAGACGCTAGTGGATGCCGTCCGCTTTGCTAAAGCTGTACTTTCTATGGAAGTTACTTTTACGATATTTAAATAGATAAATAAATACTAAAGCGAAGGGTTTGCACGAGCAAGTAGCAGCATGCGCGAAAGAGGAGGGGGGGCACGAGTTGTCACTCTATTTGTCAGCAAATTAATTAACTTGGAAGCTGACAAACAGGCATCATTCCCAAAGTAGGACGCAGGACTTGGGAATGGTTGTATGAATCCTCAAAACTTTCGTCACCCACGATAATTTACTGCAACCGGTAACACCTGGATCTTTGACGTCATGTTATAAAGTCTTGCAGTGTCGCCGGCGCAGGGGCTGATTGCCCCCAGACATTTAATAATTTTCAAGTAAACAATACGAGGGAAGGGGGGCAAAATTTTCCCACCAGCACTAACACCGTCGTATCGCCCCTTTCCCCCCTCCCCCCTTCACCCGCATTTTCGATTTCTTTAATTGTTCCGACGCCTCTGAAAACATTCAAGTCTTTCCAGAAATCATTAAATTAAAGGGTCGAAAGAAATTCATGTAACAGATATATCTACTGGAGTATGGGCCCCCAATGGATCGAGGAATGAGAATATTTAAGTGACGAATAATTTAATTGCTTTATAAATTAGAAACCATTAAAACGCAATAAACATTTTGATTCAAACTCGTAAAGGTAGGGAAGAAAGGTGACACATTATATTGCAAGGTTAAATTCCTACTGGACTCAGAAAAAAATTGTATAAAAACCAAAACCACGTTTTAAATGCCAATCGAGTTGCCCATGTGACACGGGTATAATACCATTCGTGATGCATGCAAAACTAACTCAGCCACACACACACACACACACACGCGCGCGCGCGCGCGCGCGCGCGCGCATAAGGCCTTTGTGATTGTGACTTAGCAGTCGTTCAGAACGTGTTGAAAGGTTTAAACCACCACCTAAGGCAAACTTTTCATAAGATAAGCGAATGTACTATCAGGTACGAATCAAATGCGACCAGCGGAGCGCGTGGCTTTCGATTCATACGGCACAATCTAGACGCGACTTGGAACTCATACAACTGCGTAGTGGTGAGAGGGCCTTCGAGGGTATGCACAGCTGAGTGGCCGCGCCCTCTCGCAGCCCGCTTTTCATCCCATAGTTTTACAGTTCCTTAGATGCCTCTAAGTAGCGCAACGTGCATGTTTCAAAGGCCACGCGCTCCGCTTTTCGCATTTCATATTCGTACCCACACTGTTCGTATACCCGACAGTACCAGGCTGCTTGCATGCTGTAGTGACTGACAGGATGAGAAATGGCAGGGAAAAGTTTCAGTTCTCCCGCCACCAGAAGGAGCTTTCGACCTTCCACAACGCATCGGCGTCTCGGGCGCCTGGGACTCCAGCAAGGGTGACCACCTTCCTGCTAGCAAAATGCGGGACAAGCTGACCGGGGTGGAAAAGGGGGGGGGGGGGGGGGGGGGGGGGGGTTGTAAGGGAAGGGCGGTATTATATTTCGACTGTAACAACTGCAAAAAAAAAAAAAAAAAAAAAAAAACTGCTTAGTGTGCAGTCGAGTTGGTGGACGTTTACCATGATGCTTTTTAAACCAAGACTGGGCCAGAAGGAGGTCACATTTTTTTTCCTCCTTCTGCCCTAGTCTAGCTCAGGTTAAAAATAAACATCATAAAATAAACTATTCGAGGGAATTTAACAACACACGCCAAGAAGTGTGGCTCTGCTAACACATTTAATATCCTGTCTTGTCCGAAAGCATATTATACATGTCATATAACACCTGAGACTGTGGTGGAAGAAATTGGAAACTTTTTAGTAAGAGGAACAGACACGGAAAGGGACGTCTCTTTTTGTGTTTGTTCGCTCTACTGAAAGCTTTCCCATTTCTTCCACCACAGTCTCAGGTGTTATATGACATGATCAGCTACCACCAGCTCGCCTGCACACTCACTGTTTTTTCACATATTATACAGCTGCAAATTGTATTGCGGCAATTAGGCTCAAGTAATTGTCACTCTCAGTCATATATTTTATGTTTTAATGCCACATACGTTAATAAATCTGTCTAAGTTGAAAACATAAAATCGACTGCAGCCGCCAGCAGAACTCAATGCATCAAAAGGATAGCAGAAGCAGTAAATCTTTTACGGCTTCTTGTTCCTCGTGGATTCTTACTTTTACCAATATGCTCCTACACAAATTTCGAACCTTATGTTGTTTTTGACCGTTGTGAGTTGCAGTCGTTTTGCCTTGTGTGGTTTTCACTAAAAAAATAAAAATAAAATAAAACTTTCCACAGCAACCCTTTTGCATTGACACAGCATTATTTGAAAACAATTACAATAATTTATTTTTCAACTTTTTGGCGAGCGATTTTCTCTCGCAGTATTTTACCACCAAGGGAAGAGAGGCACAAGGGCGTTTACGCGTCAGATCTCCTGCGAGAACGACGGTCGCTCCCCGGAATGCTTTGATAGAAATTGGTGTACCATCGCGATTCACACGTTTAGCAGTGACCTCCGCGCTTCCTCGTGCCCCGTTGTTCGACAGCGCCATGAGTGAATTTTTACGCGAAATGCGGGACATTTTGAAGGTTTTGGAATTTCTTGCGGGACGCGGGACACGAGCCCTCAATGCGGGACTGTCCCGCGAGTCGCGGTACGGGTGGTCACCCTAACTCCAGCACGTGCTGAAGGCCGGGCTGGATGCCGATGCCGTGTGCGCGCTTGTTACGCGCTGTACACTCGTACGTCACAAGCTTCTTTATCGTGGTATAATTTCAAGGTTGGAAGCGGTCCGTTACTTCCAG